GTTGTCCAGAAGCCATAAAGCGAGATGCAAATAATCTTCTTGCATGATCGGTGACAGGCTGGGCCTTGCCGGAGATCGAATCCGGCCCATCTCGCACCCTAAGCGAGAATCATACCACTTGACCACAAGGCCACGCTCACCGCTTTTCACGTCCTCATGTTCCAGCGACTGCATCGAGCTGCGTGCACCCACACACAAGTGCTATTATTGCAGTGTCGAATGCGAACGCATCGTGGCCAAAGGCACGTGTTACTGACGTGCTGACGACTCTTTTCAAACCATTGCGGTGCTTTGTAAGCCGTTACGTCCATCGATCTTGTTGGAGTGCTCGCTTCCTCGCGCACAGCAACAGCTTCGATTAAAACCCTGTCCTGGTCCTTTCTGTTGTGCAAGAAAGCATCATTTGCTGTTGTCCAGTTTATGCTTAAAAGTGAGATGCAAATAATCTTCTTGCATGATCGGTGACAGGCTGGGCCTTGCCGAGATCGAGCATGAGACCTCTCGCACCCTGTAAGTAATCGAGAATCATACCACTAGACCTCATTAAGGCCACATTCACCGCTTTTCACGTCTCATATGCGCTCCGCCGACTGCAATGAGCTGCGTGCACCCACACACAAGTGTTATTATTGCAGTGTCGAATGCGAACGCATTCGTATTGGCACGTTACTGACGCTGACGACTCTTTTTCAAAACCATTGCGGTGCTTTGTAAGCCGTTACGTCCATCGATCTTGTTCGAGTGCTCGCTTTCTCGCGCACAGCAACAGCTTGGTCTATGTTTATTCCTGGTCCTTCTGTTAGTTTAAGAAATGATCATTTGTTGTTGTTTGTAGCTTTCATAAAGCGAGATGAAAATAATCTCTCTTGCATTTAGATCGGTGACAGGCTGGGCCTTGCCGAGATCGAGTACGGACCCTCTCGCACTTCTAATCGAGAATCATACCACTCAGACCACAAAGGGCCACGCTCACCGCTTTTCACGTCCTCATGTTCCAAGCTAATTCACGAGCTGCGTGCACCCACAACACTCCGTGCTATTATTGCGAGTAGCGAATGCGAACGCATCAGGCATTGGCACAGTTACTTTGATTCTGACGACTCTTTTCAAACCATTGCGGTGCCTTCGTAAGCCGTTACGTCCATCGATCTTGTTGGAGTGCTCGCTTCCTCGCGCACAGCAACAGCTTCGATTAAAACTTGTCCTGGTCCTCTCGTTGTGCAAGAAAGATCATCATGTACCGTTTAGTAGCCATAAAGCGAGATGCAAATAATCTTCTTGCATGATCGGTGACAGGCTGGGTCCTTGCTGGAGATCGAGTCACGGGACCTCTTGCACCCTGAACGAGAATCATACCACTAGACCGGAGGGCCACACTCACCGCTTTTCACGTCCTCATGTCCCAGCGACTGCACGAGCTACGTGCACCCACACACAAGTGCTATATTGCAGTGCCGAATGCGAACGTACCGTATTGGCACGTTACTGACACTGACGACTTTTTCAAACCATTATGGTGCCTCTGGTAAGCCGTTACGTCCATCGATCTTGTTGGAGTGCTCGCTTCCTCGCGCACAGCAACAGTTTCGACTAAACCCGTCCTGGTCTTCATGTTGTGCAAGAAAGATCATTTGCTGCCGTCCAGAAGCCATAAAGCGAGATGCAAATAATCTTCTCGCATGATCGGTGACAGGCCGGCCTTGCCGGAGATCGAATATGGTAAATCCTCTGCACCCTAAGCGAGAATCATACCACTAGACCACTAAAGGCCACACTCACCGCTTTTCACGTCCTTACATCTCCGCAACGACCGCAAGAGCGGCGTGCACACACCACACAAGTGCTCATTCTGCAGTGTCGAATACGAACGCATCGTATTGGCTATATCAATCGTTACTGACGCTGACGACTCTTTTCAAACCATCGCGGTGCTTTGTAAGCCGTTACGTCCATCGATCTTACCGTTGGAGGTGCCCGCTTCCTCGCGCACAGCAACAGCTCCGATATAAACTTGTCCCGGTCCTCTGTTGTGCAAAGAAAGATCATTTGCTGTTGTCCAGAAGCCATAAAGCGAGATGCAAAATAATCTTTCTTGCATGATCGGTGACAGGTTGGGCCTTGCTGGAGATCGAGTCCGTCTCCTCTCGCACCCTAAGCGAGAATTATACCACCAGACCACAAGGCCACGCCAACCGCTTTCACGTCCTCATGTTCCGCCGACTGCACGAGCTGCGTGCACCCACACAATAATAAGTGCCATTATTGCAGCGTGTCGATCGCGAACGCATCGTATTGGCATCGTTACTGACACTGACGACTTCCTTCAACCCATCGCGGTGCTTCGTAAGCCGTTACGTCCATCGGGATCGAAAAGTTGGAGTGCTCGCTTCCTCGCGCACAGCAACAGCTTCGATTTAAACTTGTCCTGGTTCCTCTAATTTGCAAAGAAAGATCATTTCGCTGTTGTTTAGGCCACAAAGCGATTGCAAATAATCTTCTTACTGATCGGTGACAAATGGGGCCTGTTGGGGGAGATCGAGTCCGGGTCCTTCTCGCACCCTAAGCGAGAATTATACCACTAGACCACAAGGCCACGCTAACCGCTTTTCACGTCCTCGCTGTTCCAGCTGACTGCACGAGCTGCGTGCACCCACACACAAGTGCTATTATTGCTAGTGTCGAATGCGAACGCATCGTATTGGCACGTTACCGACGCTGACGACTCTTTTCAAACCATCCGGTGCTTTGTTAGCCGTTACGTCCATCGATCGTGTTGGAGTGCTCGCTCGTCGCGCACAGCAACAGCTTGATTTAAACTGGTCCTGGTCCTCTGTTGTGCAAGCAAGATCATTTGCTGTTGTTGTAGAAGCCATAAAGCGAGATGCAAAATACTCTTCCCGCATGATCGTGACGGCTGGGCCTGCCGGAATCGAGTACGGGACCTTCTCGCACCCTAAGCGAGAATCATACCACTTAGATCACAAGCGCCACGCGAAACCGCTTTTCACGTCCTCAGTTCCGCCGACTGCACGAGCTGCGTGCACCTCACACACAAGTGCTATTATTGCAGTGTCGAATGCGAACCATCGTACTGGCACGTTACTGACACTGACGACTCTTTTCAAACCATACGCGGTGCTTTGTAAGCCGTGACGTCCATCGATCGTGGGGGAGTGTTCGGTTCCTCGCGCACAGCAACAACCCCGGTGTCAATCTTGTCCCGGTCCTCTCTCTGCGCCAAAAATTAGAAAACGAGCAATTGCTGTGGTACTAGAGGCCATGAATTAGATGCAAATATTCTTCCTGCATGATCGGTAACGGCCAGGCCTCTCCGGAGATCGAGTACGGGTCCTCTCGCACCCCAAGCGAGAATCATACCACTAGACCAACAAGGCCACACTCACCGCTTTCACGTCCTCATGTTCCAGCCGACTACACGAGCTGCGTGCACCCACACACTCGTGCTATTATTGCAGTGTCGAATGCGAACGCATCGCATTGGCACGTTACTGACGGCTGACGACTCTTCTCAAACCATTGTGGTGCTTTGTAACTGTTACGTCCATCGATGTTGTTGGAGTGCCCGTTTTCTCGCGCACAGCAACAGCTTCGATTTAAACTTATCCCGGTCTCTCTGTTGTGCAAGAAAGATCATTTGCCATTGTTTAGGGAAGCCATAAAGCGAGATGCAAAATAATCTTCTTGCATGATCGGTGACAGGCTGGGCCTCAAGCCGGAGATCGAGTCCGGGTCCTCTCGCACCCTAAGCGAGAATTAAAAAACAATAGACCCCAAGGCCACGCTAACCGCTTTTCACGTCCTCATGTTCCAGAGCGACTGCACGAGCTGCGTGCACCCACACACAAGTGCTATTATTGCAGTGTCGAACGCGAACGCATCGTATTGGCACTTGTTACTGACGCTGACGACTCTTTTTAAAACCATCGCGGTGCTTTGTTAGCCGTTACGTCCATCGATCGTGTTGGAGTGCTCGCTTCCTCGCGCACAGCAAACAACTTCGGTTCATGCTTGTCCTGGTCCTCTCGTTGTGCAAGAAAAAAAAATCTATTTGCTGTTGTCTAGAAGCCATAAAGCGAGATGCAAATACTCTTCCCGCATGATCGGTAACGGCTCGGCAACTCGCCGGAGATCGAATCCGGGACCCTCTCGCACCCTAAGCGGAGAATCATACTACTAGACCACAAGGCCACGCTAACCGCTTTCACGTCCTCATGTCCCGCCGATTGCACGAGCTGCGTGCACTCCACACACAAGTGCTATTAGTGCAGTGTCGAATGCGAACGCATCGTATTGGCATGTTACTGACGCTGACGACTCTTTTCAAAACCATCGCGGTGCTTTGTTAGCCGTTACGTCCATCGATCGTGTTGCAGTGCCCGCTTCCTCGCGCACAGCAACAGCTTCGATTTAAACTTGTCCTGGTTCTCTGTGTGTGCAAGAAAGATCATTTGCTGTTGTTTAGAAGCCATAAAGGGAGATGCAAATAATCTTCTTGCATGATCGGTGACAGGCTGGGCCTTGCCGGAGATCGAGTCCGGGCCCTCTCGCACCCTAAGCGAGAATCCTACACACTAGACCACAAGGCCACGCTAACCGGGCTTTTCACGTCCTCATGTTCCGCTGACTGCACGAGCTGGGTGCACCCACACATAAGTGCTATTATTGCAGTTGTGTCGAATGCGAACGCATCGTATTGGCACGTTACTGACACTCACGACTCTTTCAAAAACCATCGCGGTGCTTTGTAAGTTTTCCGTTACGTCCATCGATCGTGTTGGAGTGCCTCGCTTCCTCGCGCACAGCAACAGCTTCGATTAAAATCTTGTCCCGGTCCTTTGTTGTGCAAGAAAGATCATTTGCTGTTGTCCAGAAGCCATAAAGCGGAGATGCAAATAATCTTCTTGTATGATCGGTGACAGGCTGAGCCTTGCTGGAGATCGAGTACGAGTCCTCTCGCACCCTAAGCGAGAATTATACCACTAGACCACAAGGCCACACCAACCGGGGCTTTTCACGTCCTCATATTCCACCCCCGACTGCACGAGCTGCGTGCACCCACACACACAAAAGGGAAGCGATATTGCAGTGTCGAATGCGAACGCATCGTATTGGCACGTTACTGACAACTGACGACTCTTTTCAAACCATCGCGGTAAGCTTTGTTAGCCGTTACGTCCATCGATCGTGTTGGAGTGCTCGCTTCCTCGCGCACAGCAACAGCTTCTGATTTAAACTTGTCCCGGTCCTCTGTTGTGCAAGAAAGATCATTTGCTTATTGTTTAGAAGCCATAAAGCGAGATGCAAATAATCTTCCCGCATGATCGGTGACGGCTGGGCCTTGCCGGAGATCGAGTACGGGACCTCTCGCACCCTCAAGCGAGAATTATACCATTAGACCACAAGGCCACGCTAAACCCGCTTTTCACGTCCTCATGTTCCGCCGACTGCACGAGACTGCGTGCACCACACACACAAGTGCTACCGGTGCAGTGTCGAATGCGAATGCATCGTATTGGCACGTTACTGACACTGACGACTCTTTTCAAACCATCGCGGTGCTTTGTAAGCCGTTACGTCCATCGATCGTGTTGGAGTGCCCGCTTCCCTCGCGCACAGCAAAACAACTTCGGTTTAAACTTGTCTCTGAATCTCTCTGTTGTGCAAGAAAGAGTGGCCATTAGCTGTTGTCTAGAAGCCATAAAGCGAGGTGCAAATACTCTTCCTAGCATGATCGGTAACAGGGCTAGCCCCCTGCTGGAATCGAGGCATGGCCCTCTCTGCACCCCATGGGAGAATCATACCACTAGACCACAAGGGCCACGCTCACCGCTTTCACGTCCTCAAATGTTCCAGGTGACTGATACACGAGCTGCGTGCACCCACACAGCAAGTGCTATTATTGAGTGTCGAAATGCAAACGCATCGTATTGGCACGTTACTGACGCTGACGACTCTTTTCAAACCATTGCGGTAGCTTTGTAAGCCGTTAGCGTCCATCGATCTGCCAGAGTGCTCGCTTCCTCGCGCGACCAGCAACAGCTCTTCGATTTTAAACTTGTCCCGGTCCTCTGTTGTGCAAGAAAGATCATTTGCTGTTGTGTAGAAGCCATAAAGCGAGATGCAAATAATCTTCTTGCATGATCGGTGACAGGCTGGGCCTTGCCGGAGATCGAGTCCGGCACCTCCTCGCACCCTAAGCGAGAATCATACCACTAGACCACAAGGCCACGCTAACCGCTTTTCACGTCCTCATGTTCCGCCGACTGCACGAGCTGCGTGCACCCACACACAAGTGCTATTATTGCAGTGTCGAATGCGAACGCATCGCATTGGCACGTTACTGACGCTGACGACTCTTTTCAAACCATTGCGGTGCTTTGTAAGCCGTTACGTCCATCGATCTTGTTGGAGTGCTCGCTTCCTCGCGCACAGCAACAACTTCGCTCAAGCTTGTCCCGTCCTCTGTTGTGCAAGAAAAATCATTTGCTGTTGTTTAGAAGCCATAAAGCGAGATGCAAATAATCTTCCTGCATGATCGGTGACGGGCTGGGCCTTGCCGGAGATCGAGTCCCGGACATCTCGCACCCTAAGCGAGAATCATACCATCAGACCACAAGGCCACACTCACCGTTTTCACGTCCTCATGTTCCAGCGGACTGCATGAGCTGCGTGCACCCACACAGAGTGCTATTATTGCAGTGTCGAATGCGAACGCATCCGCATTGGCACGTTACTGACCTGACGACTCTTTTCAAAACCATTGCGGTGCTTTGTAAGCCGTTACGTCCATCGATCTTGTTGGAGTGCTCGCTTCCTCGCGCAGCCAGCAACAGCTTCGATTTAAACTTGTCCCGGTCCTCTGTTGAGCAAGAAAGATCATTTGCTGTCGTTTAGAAGCCATAAAGCGAGATGCAAATACTCTTCCCGCATGATCGGTGACAGGCTGGGCCTCGCCGGAGATCGAGTCCGGGACCTCCGCACCCTAAGCGAGAATCATACCACTAGACCACAAGGCCACGCTAACCGCTTTTCACGTCCTCATGTTCCAGCCGACTGCACGAGCTGCGTGCACCCACACACAAGTGCTATTATTGCAGTGTCGAATGCGAACGCATCGTATTGGCACGTTACTGATGCTGACGACTCTTTTCAAACCATTTGCGGTGCTTTGTAAGCCGTTACGTCCATCGATCTTGTTGGAGTGCTCGCTTCCTCGCGCACAGCAACCGCTTCGGTTAAACTGGTCCCGTCCTCTGTTGTGCAAGAAAGATCATTTGCTGTTGTTTAGAAGCCATAAAGCGAGATGCAAATAATCTTCCTGCATGATCGGTGACGGCTGGGCCTCGCCGGAGATCGAATCCGGGACCTCTCGCACCCTAAGCTGAGAATCATACCACTAGACCACAAGGCCACGCTCACCGCTCTTCACGTCCTCATGTTCCGCCGACTGCACGAGCTGCGTGCACCCACACACAAGTGCTATTATTGCAGTGTCGAATGCGAACGCAACGCATTGGCAACGTTACTGACGCTGACGACTCTTTTCAAACCATTGCGGTGCTTTGCAAGCCGTTACGTCCATCGATCGTGTTGGAGTGCTCGCTTCCTCGCGCACAGCAACAGCTTCGATTTAAACTTGTCCCGGTCCTCTGTTGTGCAAGAAAGATCATTTGCTGTTGTCTAGGAAGCCATAAAGCGAGATGCAAATAATCTTCTTGCATGATCGGTGACAGGCTGGGCCTTGCCGGAGATCGAGTCCGGGACCTCTCGCACCCTAAGCGAGAATCATACCACTAGACCACAAGGCCACGCTCACCGCTTTTCACGTCCTCATGTTCCAGCTGACTGCACGAGCTGCGTGCACCCACACACAAGTGCTATTATTGCAGTGTCGAATGCGAACGCATCGTATTGGCACGTTACTGACACTGACGACTCTTTTTTCAAACCATTTGCGGTGCTTTGTAAGCCGTTACGTCCATCGATCTTGTTGGGTGCTCGCTTCCTCGCGCACAGCAACAGCTTCGATTTAAACTTGTCCCGGTCCTCTGTTGTGCAAGAAAGATCATTTGCTGTTGTCTAGAAGCCATAAAGCGAGATGCAAATAATCTTCTTGCATGATCGGTGACAGGCTGGGCCCTTGCCGGAGATCGAGTCCGGGACCTCTCGCACCCCACTAAGCGAGGAATCATACCACTAGGACCACAAGGCCACGCTCACCGCTTTTCACGTCCTCATGTTCCAGCGACTGCACGAGTTGCGTGCACCCACACTACAAGTGCTATTATTGCAGTGTCGAATGCAGACGCATCGTATTGGCACGTTACTGACGCTGACGACTCTTTTCAAACCATTGCGGTGCTTTGTGAGCCGTTACGTCCATCGATCGTGTTGGAGTGCTCGCTTCCTCGCGCACAGCAACAGCTTCGATTAAAACTTGTCCCGGTCCTCTGTTGTGCAAGAAAGATCATTTGCTGTTGTCTAGAAGCCATAAGAAGCGAGATGCAAATAATAAAACTTCTTGCATGATCGATGACAGGCTGGGCCTTGCCGGAGATCGAGTACGAGACCTCTCGCACCCTAATCGAGAATCATGCCACTAGACCACAAGGCCACGCTCACCGCTTTTCACGTCCTCATGTTCCAGCGACTGCACGAGCTGCGTGCACCTACACACAAGTGCTATTATTGCAGTGTCGAATGCGAACGCATCGCATTGGCACGTTACTGACGCTGACGACTCTTTTCAAACCATTGCGGTGCTTTGTAAGCCGTTACGTCCATCGATCTTGTTGGAGTGCTCGCTTCCTCGCGCATAAGCAACAGCTTCGATTTAAGCTTGTCCCGGTCCTCTGTTGTGCAAGAAAGATCATTTGCTGTTGTTTAGAAGCCATAAAGCGAGATGCAAAAAAATCTTCTTGCATGATCGGTGACAGGCTGGGCCTTGCCGGAGATCGGAGTACGGGACCTCTCGCACCCTAAGCGAGAATCATACCACTTGACCACAAGGCCACACTCACCGCTTTTCACGTCCTCATGTTCCGCCGACTGCACGAGCTGCGTGCACCCACACACAAGTGCTATTATTGCAGTGTCGAATGCGAACGCATCGTATTGGCACGTTACTGACGCTGACGACTCTTTTTTCAAACCATCGCGGTGCTTTGTAAGCCGTTACGTCCACCGATCTTGTTGGAGTGCTCGCTTCCTCGCGCACAGCAACAGCTTCGATTTAAACTTGTCCCGGTCCTCTGTTGTGCAAGAAAGATCATTTGCTATTGTTTAGAAGCCATAAAGCGAGATGCAAATAATCTTCTTGCATGATCGGTGACAGGCTGGGCCTTGCCAGAGATCGAGTACGGGACCTCTCGCACCCTAAGCAGAGAATCATACCACTAGACCACAAGGCCACACTCACCGCTTTTCACGTCCTCATGTTCCAGCCGACTGCACGAGCTGCGTGCACCCACACACAAAGTGCTATTATTGCAGTGTCGAATGCGAACGCATCGTATTGGCACGTTACTGACACTGACGACTCTTCTTTTCAAACCATCGCGGTGCTTTGTAAGCCGTTACGTCCATCGATCTTGTTGGGAGTGCTCGCTTCCTCGCGCACAGCAAACAGCTTCGATTTAAACTTGTCCCGGTCCTCTGTTGTGCAAGAAAGATCATTTGCTATTGTTTAGAAGCCATAAAGTGAGATGCAAATACTCTTCCCCGCATGATCGGTGACGGGCTGGGCCTTGCCGGAGATCGAATCCGGGACCTCTCGCACCCTAAGCGAGAATCATACCACTAGACCACAAGGCCACGCTAACCGCTTTTCACGTCCTCATGTTCCAGCGACTGCACGAGCTGCGTGCACCCACACACAAGTGCTATTATTGCAGTGTCGAATGCGAACGCATCGTATTGGCACGTTACTGACACTGACGACTCTTTTCAAACCATCGCGGTGCTTTGTAAGCCGTTACGTCCATCGATCGCGTTGGAGTGCTCGCTTCCTCGCGCACAGCAACAGCTTCGATTTAAACTTGTCCTGGTCCTCCCTGTTGTGCAAGAAAGATCATTTGCTATTGTTTAGAAGCCATAAAGCGAGATGCAAATAATCTTCTTGCATGATCGGTGACAGGCTGGGCCCTGCCGGAGATCGAGTACGGGACCTCTCGCACCCTAAGCGAGAAATCATACCACTAGACCACACAAGGCCACGCTCACCGCTTTTCACGTCCTCATGTTCCAGCGACTGCACGAGCTGCGTGCACCCACACACACAAGTGCTATTATTGCGGTGTCGAATGCGAACGCATCGCATTGGCACGTTACTGACGCTGACGACTCTTTTCAAACCATTGCGGTGCTTTGTAAGCCGTTACGTCCATCGATCTTGTTGAGTGCTCGTTCCTCGCGCACAGCAACAGCTTCGATTTAAACTTGTCCCGGTCCTTCTGTTGTGCAAGAAAGATCATTTGCTGTTGTCTAGAAGCCATAAAGCGAGATGCAAAATAATCTTCTTGCATGATCGGTGACAGGCTGGGCCTTGCCGGAGATCGAGTACGGGACCTCTCGCACCCTAAGCGAGAATCATACCACTAGACCACAAGGCCACGCTCACCGCTTTCACGTCCTCATGTTCCAGCGACTGCACGGGCTGCGTGCACCCACACACAAGTGCTATTATTGCGTGTCGAATGCGAACGCATCGCATTGGCACGTTACTGACGCTGACGACTCTTTTTCAAACCATTAGCGGTGCTTGGCAGGCCGTTACGTCCATCGATCTTGTTGGAGTGCTCGCTTCCTCGCGCACAGCAACAGCTTCGATTTAAACTTGTCCCGGTCCTCTGTTGTGCAAGAAAGATCATTTGCTATTGTCTAGAAGCCATAAAGCGAGATGCAAATAATCTTCTTGCATGATCGGTGACAGGCTGGCCCTTGCCGGAGATCGAGTACGCACCTCTCGCACCCTAATCGAGAATCATACCACTAGACCACAAGGCCACACTCACCGCTTTTCACGTCCTCATGTTCCAGCGACTGCACGAGCTGCGTGCACCCACACACAAGTGCTATTATGCAGTGTCGAATGCGAACGCATCGGTATTGGCACGTTACTGACGCTGACGACTCTTTTCAAACCATTGCGGTGCTTTGTAAGCCGTTACGTCCATCGATCTTGTTGGAGTGCTCGCTTCCTCGCGCACAGCAACAGCTTCGATTTAAACTTGTCCCGGTCCTCCTGTTGTACAAGAAAGATCATTTGCTATTGTCTAGAAGCCATAAAGCGAGATGCAAATAATCTTCTTGCATGATCGGTGACAGGCTGGGCCTTGCCGGAGATCGAGTACGGGACCTCCTCGCACCCTAATCGAGAATCATACCACTAGACCACAAGGCCACGCTCACCGCTTTTCACGTCCTCATGTTCCAGCTGACTGCACGAGCTGCGTGCACCCACACACGAAGTGCTATTATTGCAGTGTCGAATGCGAACGCATCGCATTGGCACGTTACTGACGCTGACGACTCTTTTCAAACCATTGCGGTGCTTTTGTAAGCCGTTACGTCCATCGATCTTGTTGGAGTGCTCGCTTCCTCGCGCACAGCAACAGCTTCGATTAAAACTTGTCCCGGTCCTCTGTTGTGCAAGAAAGATCATTTGCTATTGTTTAGAAGCCATAAAGCGAGATGCAAATAATCTTCTTGCATGATCGGTGACAGGCTGGGCCTTGCCGGAGATCGAGTACGAGACCTCTCGCACCCTAATCGAGAATCATACCACTAGACCACAAGGCCACACTCACCGCTTTTCACGTCCTCATGTTCCAGCGACTGCACGAGCTGCGTGCACCCACACACAAGTGCTATTATTGCAGTGTCGAATGCGAACGCATCGCATTGGCACGTTACTGACGCTGATGACTCTTTTCAAACCATTGCGGTGCTTTGTAAGTCGTTACGTCCATCGATCTTGTTGGAGTGCTCGCTTCCTCGCGCACAGCAACAGCTTCGATTAAAACTTGTCCCAGTCCTCTGTTGTGCAAGAAGAGATCATTTGCTGTTGTCCAGAAGCCATAAAGCGAGATGCAAATAATCTTCTTGCATGATCGGTGTTCAGGCTGGCCTTGCCGGAGATCGAGTACGAGACCTCTCGCACCCTAATCGAGAATCATACCACTAGACCACAAGGCCACACTCACCGCTTTTCACCGTCCTCATGTTCCGCCGACTGCACGAGCTGCGTGCACTCCACACACAAGTGCTATTATTGCAGTGTCGAATGCGAACGTCATCGTATTGGCACGTTACTGACGCTGACGACTATTTTCAAACCATTGCGGTGCTTTGTAAGCCGTTACGTCCATCGATCGTGCTGGAGTGCTCGCTTCCTCGCGCATAGCAACAGCTTCCGGATTATAAACTTGTCCCGGTCCTCTGTTGTGCAAGAAAGATCATTTGCTGTTGTCCAGAAGCCATAAAGCGAGATGCAAATAATCTTCTTGCATGATCGGTGACAGGCTGGGCCTTGCCGGAGATCGAGTACGAGACCTCTCGCACCCTAATCGAGAATCATACCACTAGACCACAAGGCCACGCTCACCGCTTTTCACGTCCTCATGTTCCAGCGACTGCACGAGCTGCGTGCACCCACACACAAGTGCTATTATTGCAGTGTCGAATGCAAACGCAAATCGCATTGGCACGTTACTGACGCTGACGACTCTTTTCAAACCATTGCGGTGCTTTGTAAGCCGTTACGTCCATCGATCTTGTTCGAGTGCTCGCTTTCTCGCGCACAGCAACAGCTTTGGTTTAAACTTGTCCCGGTCCTCTGTTGTGCAAGAAAGATCATTTGCTGTTGTCCAGAAGCCATAAAGCGAGATGCAAATAATCTTCTTGCATGATCGGTGACAGGCTGGGCCTTGCCGGAGATCGAGTACGAGACCTCTCGCACCCTAATCGAGAATCATACCACTAGACCACAAGGCCACGCTCACCGCTTTTCACGTCCTCATGTTCCAGCGACTGCACGAGCTGCGTGCACCCACACCAAGTGCTATTATTGCAGTGTCGAATGCGAAACGCATCGCATTGGCACGTTACTGACGCTGACGACTCTTTTTCCAAACCATTGCGGTGCTTTGTAAGCCGTTACGTCCATCGATCTTGTTCAGTGCTCGCTTCCTCGCGCACAGCAACAGCTTCGATTAAAACTTGTCCCGGTCCTCTGTTGTGCAAGAAAGATCATTTGCTGTTGTTTAGAAGCCATAAAGCGAGATGCAAATAATCTTCTTGCATGATCGGTGACAGGCTGGGCCTTGCCGGAGATCGAGTACGGGACCTCTCTGCACCCCTAATCAAGAGGAATCATACCACTGACCACAAGGCCACGCTCACCGCTTTTCACGTCCTCATGTTCCAGCGACTGCTAGAGCTGCGTGCACCCACACACACGTGCTATTATTGCAGTGTCGAATGCGAACGCATCGTATTGGCACGTTACTGACGCTGACGACTCTTCAAACCATTGCGGTGCTTTGTAAGCCGTTACGTCCATCGATCTTGTTGAGTGCTCGCTTCCTCTTCACAGCAACAGCTTCGATTTAAACTTGTCCAGGTCCTCTGTTGTGCAAGAAAGATCATTTGCTATTGTTTAGAAGCCATAAAGCGAGATGAAAATAATCTTCTTGCATGATCGGTGACAGGCTGGGCCTTGCCGGAGATCGAATTCGGGACCTCTCGCACCCTAAGCGAGAATCATACTACTAGACCACAAGGCCACACTCACCGCTTTTCACGTCCTCATGTTCCAGCCGACTGCACGAGCTGCGTGCACCCACACACAAGTAGCTATTATTGCAGTGTCGAATGCGAACGCATCGCATTGGCACGTTACTGACGCTGACGACTCTTTTCAAACCATTGCGGTGCTTTGTAAGCCGTTACGTCCATCGATCTTGTTGGAGTGCTCGCTTCCTCGCGCACAGCAACAGCTTCGATTAAAACTTGTCCCGGTCCTCTGTTGTGCAAGAAAGATCATTTGCTGTTGTTTAGAAGCCATAAAGCGAGATGAAAATAATCTTCTTGCATGATCGGTGACAGGCTGGGCCTTGCCGGAGATCGAGTACGGGACCTCTCGCACCCTAATCGAGAATCATACCACTAGACCACAAGGCCACACTCACCGCTTTTCACGTCCTCATGTTCCGCCGACTGCACGAGCTGCGTGCACCCACACACAAGTGCTATTATTGCAGTGTCGAATGCGAACGCATCGTATTGGCACGTTACTGACGCTGACGACTCTTTTCAAACCATTGCGGTGCTTTGTAAGCCGTTACGTCCATCGATCTTGTTCGAGTGCTCGCTTTCTCGCGCACAGCAACAGCTTCGATTTAAACTTGTCCCGGTCCTCTGTTGTGCAAGAAAGATCATTTGCTATTGTTTAGAAGCCATAAAGCGAGATGCAAATAATCTTCTTGCATGATCGGTGACAGGCTGGGCCTTGCCGGAGATCGAATCCGGGACCTCTCGCACCCTAAGCGAGAATCATACCACTAGACCACAAGGCCACGCTCACCGCTTTTCACGTCCTCATGTTCCAGCGACTGCACGGAGCTGCGTGCACCCACACACAAGTGCTATTATTGCAGTGTCGAATGCGAACGCATCGCATTGGCACGTTACTGACGCTGACGACTCTTTTCAAACCATTGCGGTGCTTTGTAAGCCGTTACGTCCATCGATCTTGTTGGAGTGCTCGCTTCCTCGCGCACAGCAACAGCTTCGATTAAAACTTGTCCCGGTCCTCTGTTGTGCAAGAAAGATCATTTGCTGTTGTCCAGAAGCCATAAAGCGAGATGCAAATAATCTTCTTGCATGATCGGTGACAGGCTGGGCCTTGCCGGAGATCGAGTACGGGACCTCTCGCACCCTAAGCGAGAATCATACCACTAGACCACAAGGCCACGCTCACCGCTTTTCACGTCCTCATGTTCCAGCGACTGCACGAGCTGCGTGCACCCACACACAAGTGCTATTATTGCAGTGTCGAATGCGAACGCATCGCATTGGCACGTTACTGACGCTGACGACTCTTTTCAAACCATTGCGGTGCTTTGTAAGCCGTTACGTCCATCGATCTTGTTGGAGTGCTCGCTTCCCTCGCGCACAGCAACAGCTTCGATTAAAACTTGTCCCGGTCCTCTGTTGTGCAAGAAAGATCATTTGCTGTTGTTCAGAAGCCATAAAGCGAGATGCAAATAATCTTCTTGCATGATCGGTGACAGGCTGGGCCTTGCCGGAGATCGAGTCCGGGACCTCTCTGCACCCTAATCGAGAATCATACCACTAGACCACAAGGCCACGCTCACCGCTTTTCACGTCCTCATGATTCCGCCGACTGCACGAGCTGCGTGCACCCACACACAAGTGCTATTATTGCAGTGTGTCGAATGCGAACGCATCGTATTGGCACGTTACTGACGCTGACGACTCTTTTCAAACCATTGCGGTGCTTTGTAAGCCGTTACGTCCATCGATCTTGTTGGAGTGCTCGCTTCCTCGCGCACAGCAACAGCTTCGATTAAAACTTGTCCCGGTCCTCTGTTGTGCAAGAAAGATCATTTGCTGTTGTCCAGAAGCCATAAAGCGAGATGCAAATAATCTTCTTGCATGATCGGTGACAGGCTGGGCCCTGCCGGAGATCGAGTACGGGACCTCTCGCACCCTAATCGAGAATCATACCACTAGACCACAAGGCCACGCTCACCGCTTTTCACGTCCTCATGTTCCAGCGACTGCACGAGCTGCGTGCACCCACACACAGTGCTATTATTGCAGTGTCGAATGCGAACGCATCGCATTGGCACGTTACTGACGCTGACGACTCTTTTCAAACCATTGCGGTGCTTTGTAAGCCGTTACGTCCATCGATCTTGTTGGAGTGCTCGCTTCCTCGCGCACAGCAACAGCTTCGATTAAAACTTGTCCCGGTCCTCTGTTGTGCAAGAAAGATCATTTGCTGTTGTCCAGAAGCCATAAAGCGAGATGCAAATAATCTTCTCGCATGATCGGTGACAGGCTGGGCCTTGCCGGAGATCGAGTCCGGGACCTCTCCGCACCCTAAGCGAGAATCATACCACTAGACCACAAGGCCACACTCACCGCTTTTCACGTCCTCATGTTCCAGCGACTGCACGAGCTGCGTGCACCCACACACAAGTGCTATTATTGCAGTGTCGAATGCGAACGCATCGCATTGGCACGTTACTGACGCTGACGACTCTTTTCAAACCATTGCGGTGCTTTGTAAGCCGTTACGTCCATCGATCTTGTTCGAGTGCTCGCTTTCTCGCGCACAGCAACAGCTTCGATTTAAACTTATCCCGGTCCTCTGTTGTGCAAGAAAAATCATTTGCTGTTGTCTAGAAGCCATAAAGCGAGATGCAAATAATCTTCTTGCATGATCGGTGACAGGCTGGGCCTTGCCGGAGATCGAGTCCGGGTCCTCTCGCACCCTAAGCGAGAATTATACCACTAGACCACAAGGCCACGCTAACCGCTTTTCACGTCCTCATGTTCCAGCTGACTGCACGAGCTGCGTGCACCCACACACAAGTGCTATTATTGCAGTGTCGAATGCGAACGCATCGCATTGGCACGTTACTGACGCTGACGACTCTTTTCAAACCATTGCGGTGCTTTGTAAGCCGTTACGTCCATCGATCTTGTTGGAGTGCTCGCTTCCTCGCGCACAGCAACAGCTTCGATTAAACTTGTCCCGGTCCTCTGTTGTGCAAGAAAGATCATTTGCTATTGTTTAGAAGCCATAAAGCGAGATGCAAATAATCTTCTTGCATGATCGGTGACAGGCTGGGCCTTGCCGGAGATCGAGTACGAGACCTCTCGCACCCTAATCGAGAATCATACCACTAGACCACAAGGCCACACTCACCGCTTTTCACGTCCTCATGTTCCAGCCGACTGCACGAGCTGCGTGCACCCACACACAAGTGCTATTATTGCAGTGTCGAATGCGAACGCATCGTATTGGCACGTTACTGACGCTGACGACTCTTTTCAAACCATTGCGGTGCTTTGTAAGCCGTTACGTCCATCGATCTTGTTGGAGTGCTCGCTTCCTCGCGCACAGCAACAGCTTCGATTAAAACTTGTCCCGGTCCTTCTGTTGTGCAAGAAAGATCATTTGCTGTTGTCTAGAAGCCATAAAGCGAGATGCAAATAATCTTCTTGCATGATCGGTGACAGGCTGGGCCTTGCCGGAGATCGAATCCGGGACCTCTCGCACCCTAAGCGAGAATCATACCACTAGACCACAAGGCCACGCTCACCGCTTTTCACGTCCTCATGTTCCAGCGACTGCACGAGCTGCGTGCACCCACACACAAGTGCTATTATTGCAGTGTCGAATGCGAACGCATCGCATTGGCACGTTACTGACGCTGACGACTCTTTTCAAACCATTGCGGTGCTTTGTAAGCCGTTACGTCCATCGATCTTGTTGGAGTGCTCGCTTCCTCGCGCACAGCAACAGCTTCGATTAAAACTTGTCCCGGTCCTCTGTTGTGCAAGAAAGATCATTTGCTGTTGTCCAGAAGCCATAAAGCGAGATGCAAATAATCTTCTTGCATGATCGGTGACAGGCTGGGCCTTGCCGGAGATCGAGTACGAGACCTCTCGCACCCTAATCGAGAATCATACCACTAGACCACAAGGCCACACTCACCGCTTTTCACGTCCTCATATTCCGCCGACTGCACGAGCTGCGTGCACCCACACACAAGTGCTATTATTGCAGTGTCGAATGCGAACGCATCGTATTGGCACGTTACTGACGCTGACGACTCTTTTCAAACCATTGCGGTGCTTTGTAAGCCGTTACGTCCATCGATCTTGTTGGAGTGCTCGCTTCCTCGCGCACAGCAACAGCTTCGATTAAAACTTGTCCCGGTCCTCTGTTGTGCAAGAAAGATCATTTGCTGTTGTCCAGAAGCCATAAAGCGAGGATGCAAATAATCTTCTTGCATGATCGGTCGACAGGCTGGGCCTTGCCGGAGATCGAATCCGGGACCTCTCGCACCCTAAGCGAGGAATCATACCACTAGACCACAAGGCCACGCTCACCGCTTTTCACGTCCTCATGTTCCGCCGACTGCACGAGCTGCGTGCACCCACACACTCGTGCTATTATTGCAGTGTCGAATGCGAACGCATCGCATTGGCACGTTACTGACGCTGACGACTCTTTTCAAACCATTGCGGTGCTTTGTAAGCCGTTACGTCCATCGATCTTGTTGGAGTGCTCGCTTCCTCGCGCACAGCAACAGCTTCGATTAAAACTTGTCCCGGTCCTCTGTTGTGCAAGAAAGATCATTTGCTATTGTTTAGAAGCCATAAAGCGAGATGCAAATAATCTTCTTGCATGATCGGTGACAGGCTGGGCCTTGCCGGAGATCGAGTCCGGGACCTCTCGCACCCTAAGCGAGAATCATACCACTAGACCACAAGGCCACGCTCACCGCTTTTCACGTCCTCATGTTCCAGCGACTGCACGAGCTGCGTGCACCCACACACAAGTGCTATTATTGCAGTGTCGAATGCGAACGCATCGTATTGGCACGTTACTGACGCTGACGACTCTTTTCAAACCATTGCGGTGCTTTGTAAGCCGTTACGTCCATCGATCTTGTTGGAGTGCTCGCTTCCTCGCGCACAGCAACAGCTTCGGTTCATGCTTGTCCCGGTCCTCTGTTGTGCAAGAAAGATCATTTGCTGTTGTCTAGAAGCCATAAAGCGAGATGCAAATAATCTTCTCTGCATGATCGGTGACAGGCTGGGCCTTGCCGGAGATCGAGTACGGGACCTCTCGCACCTAATCCGAGAATCATACCACTAGACCACAAGGCCACACTCACCGCTTTTCACGTCCTCATGTTCCAGCCGACTGCACTGAGCTGCGTGCACCCACACACAAGTGCTATTATTGCAGTGTCGAATGCGAACGCATCGTATTGGCACGTTACTGACGCTGACGACTCTTTTCAAACCATTGCGGTGCTTTGTAAGCCGTTACGTCCATCGATCTTGTTGGAGTGCTCGCTTCCTCGCGCACAGCAACAGCTTCGATTCAAACTTGTCCCGGTCCTCTGTTGTGCAAGAAAGATCATTTGCTGTTGTTTAGAAGCCATAAAGCGAGATGCAAATAATCTTCTTTGCATGATCGGTGACAGGCTGGGCCTTGCCGGAGATCGAGTCCGGGACCTCTCGCACCCTAAGCGAGAATCATACCACTAGACCACAAGGCCACGCTCACCGCTTTTCACGTCCTCATGTTCCAGCGACTGCACGAGCTGCGTGCACCACACACACAAGTGCTATTATTGCAGTGTCGAATGCGAACGCATCGTATTGGCACGTTACTGACGCTGACGACTCTTTTCAAACCATTGCGGTGCTTTGTAAGCCGTTACGTCCATCGATCTTGTTGGAGTGCTCGCTTCCTCGCGCACAGCAACAGCTTCGATTTAAACTTGTCCCGGTCCTCTGTTGTGCAAGAAAGATCATTTGCTGTTGTTTAGAAGCCATAAAGCGAGATGCAAATAATCTTCTTGCATGATCGGTGACAGGCTGGGCCTTGCCGGAGATCGAGTCCGGGACCTCTCGCACCCCTAAGCGAGAATCATACCACTAGACCACAAGGCCACGCTCACCGCTTTTCACGTCCTCATATTCCGCCGACTGCACGAGCTGCGTGCACCCACACACAAGTGCTATTATTGCAGTGTCGAATGCGAACGCATCGTATTGGCACGTTACTGACGCTGACGACTCTTTTCAAACCATTGCGGTGCTTTGTAAGCCGTTACGTCCATCGATCTTGTTGGAGTGCTCGCTTCCTCGCGCACAGCAACAGCTTCGATTAAAACTTGTCCCGGTCCTCTGTTGTGCAAGAAAGATCATTTGCTATTGTCCAGAAGCCATAAAGCGAGATGCAAATAATCTTCTTGCATGATCGGTGACAGGCTGGGCCTTGCCGGAGATCGAGTCCGGGACCTCTCGCACCCCTAAGCGAGAATCATACCACTAGACCACAAGGCCACGCTCACCGCTTTTCACGTCCTCATGTTCCGCCGACTGCACGAGCTGCGTGCACCCACACACAAGTGCTATTATTGCAGTGTCAAATGCGAACGCATCGTATTGGCACGTTACTGACGCTGACGACTCTTTTCAAAACCATTGCGGTGCTTTGTAAGCCGTTACGTCCATCGATCTTGTTGGAGTGCTCGCTTCCTCGCGCACAGCAACAGCTTCGATTAAAACTTGTCCCGGTCCTCTGTTGTGCAAGAAAGATCATTTGCTGTTGTTTAGAAGCCATAAAGCGAGATGCAAATAATCTTCTTGCATGATCGGTGACAGGCTGGGCCTTGCCGGAGATCGAGTCCGGGACCTCTCGCACCCTAAGCGAGAATCATACCACTAGACCACAAGGCCACGCTCACCGCTTTTCACGTCCTCATGTTCCAGCCGACTGCACGAGCTGCGTGCACCCACACACAAGTGCTATTATTGCAGTGTCGAATGCGAACGCATCGTATTGGCACGTTACTGACGCTGACGACTCTTTTCAAACCATTGCGGTGCTTTGTAAGCCGTTACGTCCATCGATCTTGTTGGAGTGCTCGCTTCCTCGCGCACAGCAACAGCTTCGGTTAAAACTTGTCCCGGTCCTCTGTTGTGCAAGAAAGATCATTTGCTGTTGTTTAGAAGCCATAAAGCGAGATGCAAATAATCTTCTTGCATGATCGGTGACAGGCTGGGCCTTGCCGGAGATCGAGTGCGGGACCTCTCGCACCCTAAGCGAGAATCATACCACTAGACCACAAGGCCACGCTCACCGCTTTTCACGTCCTCATGTTCCGCCGACTGCACGGAGCTGCGTGCACCCACACACAAGTGCTATTATTGCGGTGTCGAATGCGAACGCATCGTATTGGCACGTTACTGACGCTGACGACTCTTTTCAAACCATTGCGGTGCTTTGTAAGCCGTTACGTCCATCGATCTTGTTGGAGTGCTCGCTTCCTCGCGCACAGCAACAGCTTCGATTAAATTCCCGGTCCTCTGTTTGTGCAAGAAGAAGATCATTTGCTGTTGTTTTAGAGCCATAAAGCGAGATGCAAATAATCTTCTTGCATGATCGGTGACAGGCTGGGCCTTGCCGGAGATCGAGTACAGGGACCTCTCGCACCCTAAGCGAGAATCATACCACTAGACCACAAGGCCACGCCTCACCGCTTTTCACGTCCTCATGTTCCGCCGACTGCACGAGCTGCGTGCACCCACACACAAGTGCTATTATTGCAGTGTCGAATGCGAACGCATCGTATTGGCACGTTACTGACGCTGACGACTCTTTTCAAACCATTGCGGTGCTTTTTGTAAGCCGTTACGTCCATCGATCTTGTTGGAGTGCTCGCTTCCTCGCGCACAGCAACAGCTTCGGATTTAAACTTGTCCCGGTCCTCTGTTGTGCAAGAAAGATCATTTGCTGTTGTCTAGAAGCCATAAAGCGAGATGCAAATAATCTTCTTGCATGATCGGTGACAGGCTGGGCCTTGCCGGAGATCGAGTCCGGGACCTCTCGCACCTAAGCGAGAATCATACCACTAGACCACAAGGCCACGCTCACCGCTTTTCACGTCCTCATGTTCCAGCCGACTGCACGAGCTGCGTGCACCCACACACAAGTGCTATTATTGCAGTGTCGAATGCGAACGCATCGCATTGGCACGTTACTGACGCTGACGACTCTTTTCAAACCATTGCGGTGCTTTGTAAGCCGTTACGTCCATCGATCTTGTTGGAGTGCTCGCTTCCTCGCGCACAGCAACAGCTTCGATTTAAACTTGTCCCGGTCCTCTGTTGTGCAAGAAAGATCATTTGCTGTTGTCCAGAAGCCATAAAGCGAGATGCAAATAATCTTCTTGCATGATCGGTGACAGGCTGGGCCTTGCCGGAGATCGAGTACGAGACCTCTCGCACCCTAATCGAGAATCATACCACTAGACCACAAGGCCACACTCACCGCTTTTCACGTCCTCATATTCCGCCGACTGCACGAGCTGCGTGCACCCACACACAAGTGCTATTATTGCAGTGTCGAATGCGAACGCATCGTATTGGCACGTTACTGACGCTGACGACTCTTTTCAAACCATTGCGGTGCTTTGTAAGCCGTTACGTCCATCGATCTTGTTCGAGTGCTCGCTTTCTCGCGCACAGCAACAGCTTCGGTTCATGCTTGTCCCGGTCCTCTGTTGTGCAAGAAAGATCATTTGCTGTTGTTTAGAAGCCATAAAGCGAGATGCAAATACTCTTCCTGCATGATCGGTGACAGGCTGGGCCTTGCCGGAGATCGAGTACGGGACCTCTCGCACCCTAAAGCGAGAATCATACCACTAGACCACAAGGCCACACGCTAACCGCTTTTCACGTCCTCATGTTCCGCCGACTGCACGAGCTGCGTGCACCCACACACAAGTGCTATTATTGCAGTGTCGAATGCGAACGCATCGTATTGGCACGTTACTGACGCTGACGACTCTTTTCAAACCATCGCGGTGCTTTGTAAGCCGTTACGTCCATCGATCGTGTTGGAGTGCTCGCTTCCTCGCGCACAGCAACAGCTTCGATTAAAACTTGTCCCGGTCCTCTGTTGTGCAAGCAAGATCATTTGCTGTTGTTTAGAAGCCATAAAGCGAGATGCAAATAATCTTCTTGCATGATCGGTGACAGGCTGGGCCTTGCCGGAGATCGAGTACGAGACCTCTCGCACCCTAATCGAGAATCATACCACTAGACCACAAGGCCACGCTCACCGCTTTTTCACGTCCTCATGTTCCAGCGACTGCACGAGCTGCGTGCACCCACACACAAGTGCTATTATTGCAGTGTCGAATGCGAACGCATCGTATTGGCACGTTACTGACGCTGACGACTCTTTTCAAACCATTGCGGTGCTTTGTAAGCCGTTACGTCCATCGATCTTGTTGGAGTGCTCGCTTCCTCGCGCACAGCAACAGCTTCGATTTAAACTTGTCCCGGTCCTCTGTTGTGCAAGAAAGATCATTTGCTGTTGTTTAGAAGCCATAAAGCGAGATGCAAATAATCTTCTTGCATGATCGGTGACAGGCTGGGCCTTGCCGGAGATAGAATCCGGGACCTCTCGCACCCTAAGCGAGAATCATACCACTAGACCACAAGGCCACGCTAACCGCTTTTCACGTCCTCATGTTCCGCCGACTGCACGAGCTGCGTGCACCCACACACAAGTGCTATTATTGCAGTGTCGAATGCGAACGCATCGTATTGGCACGTTACTGACACTGACGACTCTTTTCAAACCATCGCGGTGCTTTGTAAGCCGTTACGTCCATCGATCTTGTTGGAGTGCTCGCTTCCTCGCGCACAGCAACAGCTTCGATTTAAACTTGTCCCGGTCCTCTGTTGTGCAAGAAAGATCATTTGCTGTTGTTTAGAAGCCATAAAGCGAGATGCAAATAATCTTCTTCTTGCATGATCGGTGACAGGCTGGGCCTTGCCGGAGATCGAGTCCGGGACCTCTCGCACCCTAAGCGAGAATCATACCACTAGACCACAAGGCCACGCTCACCGCTTTTCACGTCCACATGTTCCGCCGACTGCACGAGCTGCGTGCACCCACACACAGTGCTATTATTGCAGTGTCGAATGCGAACGCATCGTATTGGCACGTTACTGACGCTGACGACTCTTTTCAAACCATCGCGGTGCTTTGTTAGCCGTTAAGTCCATCGATCGTGTTGGAGTGCTCGCTTCCTCGCGCACAGCAACAACTTCGGTTCATGCTTGTCCCGGTCCTCTGTTGTGCAAGAAAGATCATTTGCTGTTGTCTAGAAGCCATAAAGCGAGATGCAAATACTCTTCCCGCATGATCGGTAACGGGCTGGGCCTTGCCGGAGATCGAATCCGGGACCTCTCGCACCCTAAGCGATAATCTTCCACTAGACCACAAGGCCACGCTAACCGCTTTTCACGTCCTCATGTTCCGCCGACTGCACGAGCTGCGTGCACCCACACACTCGTGCTATTATTGCAGTGTCGAATGCGAACGCATCGCATTGGCACGTTACTGACGCTGACGACTCTTTTCAAACCATTGCGGTGCTTTGTAAGCCGTTACGTCCATCGATCTTGTTCGAGTGCTCGCTTCCTCGCGCACAGCAACAGCTTCGATTTAAACTTGTCCCGGTCCTCTGTTGTGCAAGAAAGATCATTTGCTGTTGTTTAGAAGCCATAAAGCGAGATGCAAATACTCTCCTTGCATGATCGGTGACAGGCTGGGCCTTGCCGGAGATCGAGGTCCGGGACCTCTCGCACCCTAAGCGAGAATCATACCACTAGACCACAAGGCCACGCTCACCGCTTTTCACGTCCTCATGTTCCGCCGACTGCACGAGCTGCGTGCACCCACACACAAGTGCTATTATTGCAGTGTCGAATGCGAACGCATCGCATTGGCACGTTACTGACACTGACGACTCTTTTCAAACCATCGCGGTGCTTTGTAGGCCGTTACGTCCATCGATCGTGTTGGAGTGCTCGCTTCCTCGCGCACAGCAACAGCTTCGATTTAAACTTGTCCCGGTCCTCTGTTGTGCAAGAAAGATCATTTGCTGTTGTCTAGAAGCCATAAAGCGAGAGTGCAAATACTCTTCCTGCATGATCGGTGACAGGCTGGGCCTTGCCGGAGATCGAATCCGGGACCTCTCGCACCCTAAGCGAGAATCATACCACTAGACCACAAGGCCACGCTAACCGCTTTTCACGTCCTCATGTTCCGCCGACTGCACGAGCTGCGTGCACCCACACACTCGTGCTATTATTGCAGTGTCGAATGCGAACGCATCGTATTGGCACGTTACTGACACTGACGACTCTTTTCAAACCATCGCGGTGCTTTGTAAGCCGTTACGTCCATCGATCTTGTTGGAGTGCTCGCTTCCTCGCGCACAGCAACAGCTTCGATTTAAACTTGTCCCGGTCCTCTGTTGTGCAAGAAAGATCATTTGCTGTTGTTTAGAAGCCATAAAGCGAGATGCAAATAATCTTCTTGCATGATCGGTAACGGGCTGGGCCTTGCCGGAGATCAAATCCGGGACCTCTCGCACCCTAAGCGAGAATTATACCACTAGACCACAAGGCCACGCTCACCGCTCTTCACGTCCTCATGTTCGAGCGACTGCACGAGCTGCGTGCACCCACACACAAGTGCTATTATTGCAGTGTCGAATGCGAACGCATCGCATTGGCACGTTACTGACGCTGACGACTCTTTTCAAACCATCGCGGTGCTTTGTAAGCCGTTACGTCCATCGATCGTGTTGGAGTGCTCGCTTCCTCGCGCACAGCAACAGCTTCGATTTAAACTTGTCCCGGTCCTCTGTTGTGCAAGAAAGATCATTTGCTGTTGTCTAGAAGCCATAAAGCGAGATGCAAATACTCTTCTCGCATGATCGGTAACGGGCTGGGCCTTGCCGGAGATCGAGTCCGGGACCTCTCGCACCCTAAGCGAGAATCATACCACTAGACCACAAGGCCACGCTAACCGCTTTTCACGTCCTCATGTTCCGCCGACTGCACGAGCTGCGTGCACCCACACACAAGTGCTATTATTGCAGTGTCGAATGCGAACGCATCGTATTGGCACGTTACTGACACTGACGACTCTTTTCAAACCATCGCGGTGCTTTGTAAGCCGTTACGTCCATCGATCGTGTTGGAGTGCTCGCTTCCTCGCGCACAGCAACAGCTTCGGTTTAAACTTTGTCCCGGTCCTCTGTTGTGCAAGAAAGATCATTTGCTGTTGTTTAGAAGCCATAAAGCGAGATGCAAATAATCTTCTTGCATGATCGGTGACAGGCTGGGCCTTGCCGGAGATCGAGTACGGGACCTCTCGCACCCTAAGCGAGAATTATACCACTAGACCACAAGGCCACGCTCACCGCTTTTCACGTCCTCATGTTCCGCCGACTGCACGAGCTGCGTGCACCCACACACAAGTGCTATTATTGCAGTGTCGAATGCGAACGCATCGTATTGGCACGTTACTGACACTGACGACTCTTTTCAAACCATCGCGGTGCTTTGTAAGCCGTTACGTCCATCGATCTTGTTGGAGTGCTCGCTTCCTCGCGCACAGCAACAGCTTCGATTTAAACTTGTCCCGGTCCTCTGTTGTGCAAGAAAGATCATTTGCTGTTGTTTAGAAGCCATAAAGCGAGATGCAAATAATCTTCTTCGCATGATCGGTAACGGCTGGGCCTTGCCGGAGATCGAGTCCGGGACCTCTCGCACCCTAAGCGAGAATTATACCACTAGACCACAGGCCACGCTCACCGCTTTTCACGTCCTCATGTTCCGCCGACTGCACGAGCTGCGTGCACCCACACACAAGTGCTATTATTGCAGTGTCGAATGCGAACGCATCGTATTGGCACGTTACTGACGCTGACGACTCTTTTCAAACCATCGCGGTGCTTTGTAAGCCGTTACGTCCATCGATCTTGTTGGAGTGCTCGCTTCCTCGCGCACAGCAACAGCTTCGATTTAAACTTGTCCCGGTCCTCTGTTGTGCAAGAAAGATCATTTGCTGTTGTTTAGAAGCCATAAAGCGAGATGCAAATACTCTTCTTGCATGATCGGTGACAGGCTGGGCCTTGCCGGAGATCGAGTCCGGGCCTCTCGCACCCTAATCGAGGAATCATACCACTAGACCACAAGGCCACGCTCACCGCTTTTCACGTCCTCAGTATTCCGCCGACTGCACGAGCTGCGTGCACCCACACACAAGTGCTATTATTGCAGTGTCGAATGCGAACGCATCGTATTGGCACGTTACTGACGCTGACGACTCTTTTCAAACCATCGCGGTGCTTTGTAAGCCGTTACGTCCATCGATCTTGTTGGAGTGCTCGCTTTCCCCTCGCGCACAGCAACAGCTTCGATTTAAACTTGTCCCGGTCCTCTGTTGTGCAAGAAAGATCATTTGCTGTTGTTTAGAAGCCATAAAGCGAGATGCAAATACTCTCCTTGCACGATCGGTGACAGGCTGGGCCTTGCCGGAGATCGAGTCCGGGACCTCTCGCACCCTAAGCGAGAATTATACCACTAGACCACAAGGCCACGCTCACCGCTTTTCACGTCCTCATATTCCGCCGACTGCACGAGCTGCGTGCACCCACACACAAGTGCTATTATTGCAGTGTCGAATGCGAACGCATCGCATTGGCACGTTACTGACGCTGCCGACTCTTTTCAAACCATCGCGGTGCTTTGTAAGCCGTTACGTCCATCGATCTTGTTGGAGTGCTCGCTTCCTCGCGCACAGCAACAGCTTCGATTCAAACTTGTCCCGGTCCTCTGTTGTGCAAGAAAGATCATTTGCTGTTGTCTAGAAGCCATAAAGCGAGACGCAAATACTCTCCCTGCATGATCGGTAACGGGCTGGGCCTTGCCGGAGATCGAATCCGGGACCTCTCGCACCCTAAGCGAGAATCATACCACTAGACCACAAGGCCACGCTCACCGCTTTTCACGTCCTCATATTCCGCCGACTGCACGAGCTGCGTGCACCCACACACAAGTGCTATTATTGCAGTGTCGAATGCGAACGCATCGTATTGGCACGTTACTGACGCTGACGACTCTTTTCAAACCATTGCGGTGCTTTGTAAGCCGTTACGTCCATCGATCTTGTTGGAGTGCTCGCTTCCTCGCGCACAGCAACAGCTTCGATTTAAACTTGTCCCGGTCCTCTGTTGTGCAAGAAAGATCATTTGCTGTTGTTTAGAAGCCATAAAGCGAGATGAAAATACTCTCCTTGCATGATCGGTGACGGGCTGGGCCTTGCCGGAGATCGAGTCCGGGACCTCTCGCACCCTAATCGAGAATTATACCACTAGACCACAAGGCCACGCTAACCGCTTTTCACGTCCTCATGTTCCGCCGACTGCACGAGCTGCGTGCACCCACACACAAGTGCTATTATTGCAGTGTCGAATGCGAACGCATCGTATTGGCACGTTACTGACGCTGACGACTCTTTTCAAACCATTGCGGTGCTTTGTAAGCCGTTACGTCCATCGATCTTGTTGGAGTGCTCGCTTCCTCGCGCACAGCAACAGCTTCGATTTAAACTTGTCCCGGTCCTCTGTTGTGCAAGAAAGATCATTTGCTGTTGTCTAGAAGCCATAAAGCGAGATGCAAATACTCTTCCCGCATGATCGGTGACATGCTGGGCCTTGCCCGAGATCGAGTCCGGGACCTCTCGCACCCTAAGCGAGAATTATACCACTAGACCACAAGGCCACACTCACCGCTTTTCACGTCCTCATATTCCGCCGACTGCACGAGCTGCGTGCACCCACACACAAGTGCTATTATTGCAGTGTCGAATGCGAACGCATCGTATTGGCACGTTACTGACGCTGACGACTCTTTTCAAACCATCGCGGTGCTTTGTTAGCCGTTACGTCCATCGATCGTGTTGGAGTGCTCGCTTTCTCGCGCACAGCAACAGCTTCGGTTTAAACTTGTCCCGGTCCTCTGTTGTGCAAGAAAGATCATTTGCTGTTGTTTAGAAGCCATAAAGCGAGATGCAAATACTCTTCTTGCATGATCGGTGACGGGCTGGGCCTTGCCGGAGATCGAGTCCGGGACCTCTCGCACCCCTAAGCGAGAATTATACCACTAGACCACAAGGCCACGCTCACCGCTTTTCACGTCCTCATGTTCCAGCCGACTGCACGAGCTGCGTGCACCCACACACAAGTGCTATTATTGCAGTGTCGAATGCGAACGCATCGTATTGGCACGTTACTGACGCTGACGACTCTTTTCAAACCATTGCGGTGCTTTGTAAGCCGTTACGTCCATCGATCTTGTTGGAGTGCTCGCTTCCTCGCGCACAGCAACAGCTTCGATTTAAACTTGTCCCGGTCCTCTGTTGTGCAAGAAAGATCATTTGCTGTTGTTTAGAAGCCATAAAGCGAGATGCAAATAATCTTCTTGCATGATCGGTGACAGGCTGGGCCTTGCCGGAGATCGAGTCCGGGACCTCTCGCACCCTAAGCGAGAATCATACCACTAGACCACAAGGCCACGCTCACCGCTTTTCACGTCCTCATGTTCCGGCGACTGCACGAGCTGCGTGCACCCACACACAAGTGCTATTATTGCAGTGTCGAATGCGAACGCATCGTATTGGCACGTTACTGACGCTGACGACTCTTTTCAAACCATCGCGGTGCTTTGTAAGCCGTTACGTCCATCGATCGTGTTGGAGTGCTCGCTTCCTCGCGCACAGCAACAGCTTCGATTTAAACTTGTCCCGGTCCTCTGTTGTGCAAGAAAGATCATTTGCTGTTGTCTAGAAGCCATAAAGCGAGATGCAAATACTCTTCTTGCATGATCGGTGACAGGCTGGGCCTTGCCGGAGATCGAGTCCGGGACCTCTCGCACCCTAAGCGAGAATCATACCACTAGACCACAAGGCCACGCTCACCGCTTTTCACGTCCTCATGTTCCGCCGACTGCACGAGCTGCGTGCACCCACACACAAGTGCTATTATTGCAGTGTCGAATGCGAACGCATCGTATTGGCACGTTACTGACACTGACGACTCTTTTCAAACCATCGCGGTGCTTTGTAAGCCGTTACGTCCATCGATCGTGTTGGAGTGCTCGCTTCCTCGCGCACAGCAACAGCTTCGATTTAAACTTGTCCCGGTCCTCTGTTGTGCAAGAAAGATCATTTGCTGTTGTTTAGAAGCCATAAAGCGAGATGAAAATACTCTCCTTGCATGATCGGTGACGGGCTGGGCCTTGCCGGAGATCGAGTCCGGGACCTCTCGCACCCTAAGCGAGAATCATACCACTAGACCACAAGGCCACGCTCACCGCTTTTCACGTCCTCATGTTCCGCCGACTGCACGAGCTGCGTGCACCCACACACACGTGCTATTATTGCAGTGTCGAATGCGAACGCATCGTATTGGCACGTTACTGACACTGACGACTCTTTTCAAACCATCGCGGTGCTTTGTAAGCCGTTACGTCCATCGATCTTGTTGGAGTGCTCGCTTCCTCGCGCACAGCAACAGCTTCGGTTCATGCTTGTCCCGGTCCTCTGTTGTGCAAGAAAGATCATTTGCTGTTGTCTAGAAGCCATAAAGCGAGATGCAAATAATCTTCCCGCATGATCGGTGACGGGCTGGGCCTTGCCGGAGATCGAGTCCGGGACCTCTCGCACCCTAAGCGAGAATCATACCACTAGACCACAAGGCCACGCTCACCGCTTTTCACGTCCTCATGTTCCAGCGACTGCACGAGCTGCGTGCACCCACACACAAGTGCTATTATTGCAGTGTCGAATGCGAACGCATCGTATTGGCACGTTACTGACGCTGACGACTCTTTTCAAACCATCGCGGTGCTTTGTAAGCCGTTACGTCCATCGATCTTGTTGGAGTGCTCGCTTCCTCGCGCACAGCAACAGCTTCGATTTAAACTTGTCCCGGTCCTCTGTTGTGCAAGAAAGATCATTTGCTGTTGTTTAGAAGCCATAAAGCGAGATGCAAATACTCTTCTTGCATGATCGGTGACAGGCTGGGCCTTGCCGGAGATCGAGTCCGGGACCTCTCGCACCCTAAGCGAGAATCATACCACTAGACCACAAGGCCACGCTCACCGCTTTTCACGTCCTCATATTCCGCCGACTGCACGAGCTGCGTGCACCCACACACAGTGCTATTATTGCAGTGTCGAATGCGAACGCATCGTATTGGCACGTTACTGACGCTGACGACTCTTTTCAAACCATCGCGGTGCTTTGTAAGCCGTTACGTCCATCGATCTTGTTAGAGTGCTCGCTTCCTCGCGCACAGCAACAGCTTCGGTTTATACTTGTCCCGGTCCTCTGTTGTGCAAGAAAGATCATTTGCTGTTGTTTAGAAGCCATAAAGCGAGATGAAAATACTCTCCTTGCATGATCGGTGACGGGCTGGGCCTTACCGGAGATCGAGTCCGGGACCTCTCGCACCCTAAGCGAGAATCATACCACTAGACCACAAGGCCACGCTCACCGCTTTTCACGTCCTCATGTTCCGCCGACTGCACGCGCTACACGCACCCAGACACAAGTGCTATTATTGCAGTGTCGAATGCGAACGCATCGCATTGGCACGTTACTGACGCTGACGACTTATGTCGAAACATTGCGGTGCTTTTGTAAGCCGTTACGTCCATCGATCTTGTTAGAGTGCTCGCGTCCTCGCGCACAGCAACAGCTTTGGTTTAAACTTGTCCCGGTCCTCTGTTGTGCAAGAAAGATCATTTGCTGTTGTCTAGAAGCCATAAAGCGAGATGAAAACACTCTTCTTGCATGATCGGTGACGGGCTGGGCCTTGCCCGAGATCGAGTCCGGGACCTCTCGCACCCTAAGCGAGAATCATACCACTAGACCACAAGGCCACGCTCACCGCTTTTCACGTCCTCATGTTCCGCCGACTGCACGCGCTACACGCACCCAGACACAAGTGCTATTATTGCAGTGTCGAATGCGAACGCATCGCATTGGCACGTTACTGACGCTGACGACTTATGTCGAAACATTGCGGTGCTTTTGTAAGCCGTTACGTCCATCGATCTTGTTAGAGTGCTCGCGTCCTCGCGCACAGCAACAGCTTTGGTTTAAACTTGTCCCGTTCCTCTGTTGTGCAAGAAAGATCATTTGCTGTTGTCTAGAAGCCATAAAGCGAGATGAAAATACTCTCCTTGCATGATCGGTGACGGGCTGGGCCTTGCCCGAGATCGAGTCCGGGACCTCTCGCACCCTAAGCGAGAATCATACCACTAGACCACAAGGCCACGCTCACCGCTTTTCACGTCCTCATGTTCCGCCGACTGCACGCGCTGCATGCACCCACACACAAGTGCTATTATTGCAGTGTCGAATGCGAACGCATCGCATTGGCACGTTACTGACGCTGACGACTTATGTCGAGACATTGCGGTGCTTTTGTAAGCCGTTACGTCCATCGATCTTGTTAGAGTGCTCGCTTCCTCGCGCACAGCAACAGCTTCGATTTAAACTTGTCCCGGTCCTCTGTTGTGCAAGAAAGATCATTTGCTGTTGTTTAGAAGCCATAAAGCGAGATGCAAATACTCTCCTTGCATGATCGGTGACGGGCTGGGCCTTGCCGGAGATCGAGTCCGGGACCTCTCGCACCCTAAGCGAGAATCATACCACTAGACCACAAGGCCACGCTCACCGCTTTTCACGTCCTCATGTTCCAGCCGACTGCACGGCTGCATGCACCCACACACAAGTGCTATTATTGCAGTGTCGAATGCGAACGCATCGTATTGGCACGTTACTGACGCTGACGACTCTTTTCAAACCATCGCGGTGCTTTGTAAGCCGTTACGTCCATCGATCGTGTTGGAGTGCTCGCTTCCTCGCGCACAGCAACAGCTTCGGTTTAAACTTGTCCGGTCCTCTGTTGTGCAAGAAAGATCATTTGCTGTTGTCTAGAAGCCATAAAGCGAGATGCAAATAATCTTCTTGCATGATCGGTGACAGGCTGGGCCTTGCCGGAGATCGAGTCCGGGACCTCTCGCACCCTAAGCGAGAATTATACCACTAGACCACAAGGCTACGCTCACCGCTCTTCACGTCCTCATGTTCGAGCGACTGCACGAGCTGCGTGCACCCACACACAAGTGCTATTATTGCAGTGTCGAATGCGAACGCATCGCATTGGCACGTTACTGACGCTGACGACTCTTTTCAAACCATCGCGGTGCTTTGTTAGCCGTTACGTCCATCGATCGTGTTGGAGTGCTCGCTTCCTCGCGCACAGCAACAGCTTTGGTTTAAACTTGTCCCGTTCCTCTGTTGTGCAAGAAAGATCATTTGCTGTTGTCTAGAAGCCATAAAGCGAGATGCAAATACTCTTCCCGCATGATCGGTGACGGGCTGGGCCTTGCCGGAGATCGAGTCCGGGACCTCTCGCACCCTAAGCGAGAATCATACCACTAGACCACAAGGCCACGCTCACCGCTTTTCACGTCCTCATGTTCCGCCGACTGCACGAGCTGCGTGCACCCACACACAAGTGCTATTATTTGCAGTGTCGAATGCGAACGCATCGCATTGGCACGTTACTGACGCTGACGACTCTTTTCAAACCATTGCGGTGCTTTGTAAGCCGTTACGTCCATCGATCTTGTTCGAGTGCTCGCTTCCTCGCGCACAGCAACAGCTTTGGTTTAAACTTGTCCCGTTCCTCTGTTGTGCAAGAAAGATCATTTGCTGTTGTTTAGAAGCCATAAAGCGAGATGAAAATACTCTCCTTGCATGATCGGTGACGGGCTGGGCCTTGCCGGAGATCGAGTCCGGGACCTCTCGCACCCTAAGCGAGAATCATACCACTAGACCACAAGGCCACGCTGACTACTTTTCACGTCCTCATGTTCCGCCGACTGCACGCGCTGCACGCACCCACACACTCGTGCTATTATTGCAGTGTCGAATGCGAACGCATCGCATTGGCACGTTACTGACGCTGACGACTCTTTTCAAACCATCGCGGTGCTTTGTAAGCCGTTACGTCCATCGATCGTGTTGGAGTGCTCGCTTCCTCGCGCACAGCAACAGCTTCGATTTAAACTTGTCCCGGTCCTCTGTTGTGCAAGAAAGATCATTTGCTGTTGTTTAGAAGCCATAAAGCGAGATGCAAAATACTCTTCTTGCATGATCGGTGACAGGCTGGGCCTTGCCGGAGATCGAGTCCGGGACCTCTCGCACCCTAAGCGAGAATCATACCACTAGACCACAAGGCCACGCTCACCGCTTTTCACGTCCTCATGTTCCAGCCGACTGCACGAGCTGCGTGCACCCACACACAAGTGCTATTATTGCAGTGTCGAATGCGAACGCATCGTATTGGCACGTTACTGACGCTGACGACTCTTTTCAAACCATCGCGGTGCTTTGTAAGCCGTTACGTCCATCGATCTTGTTGGAGTGCTCGCTTCCTCGCGCACAGCAACAGCTTCGATTTAAACTTGTCCCGGTCCTCTGTTGTGCAAGAAAGATCATTTGCTGTTGTTTAGAAGCCATAAAGCGAGATGCAAATACTCTTCTTGCATGATCGGTGACAGGCTGGGCCTTGCCGGAGATCGAATTCGGGACCTCTCGCACCCTAAGCGAGAATCATACTACTAGACCACAAGGCCACACTCACCGCTTTTCACGTCCTCATGTTCCGCCGACTGCACGAGCTGCGTGCACCCACACACAAGTGCTATTATTGCAGTGTCGAATGCGAACGCATCGTATTGGCACGTTACTGACGCTGACGACTCTTTTCAAACCATCGCGGTGCTTTGTTAGCCGTTACGTCCATCGATCGTGTTGGAGTGCTCGCTTCCTCGCGCACAGCAACAACTTCGATTTAAACTTGTCCCGGTCCTCTGTTGAGCAAGAAAGATCATTTGCTGTTGTCTAGAAGCCATAAAGCGAGATGCAAATAATCTTCTTGCATGATCGGTGACAGGCTGGGCCTTGCCGGAGATCGAGTACGGGACCTCTCGCACCCTAAGCGAGAATCATACCACTAGACCACAAGGCCACGCTAACCGCTTTTCACGTCCTCATGTTCCAGCGACTGCACGAGCTGCGTGCACCCACACACAAGTGCTATTATTGCAGTGTCGAATGCGAACGCATCGTATTGGCACGTTACTGACGCTGACGACTCTTTTCAAACCATTGCGGTGCTTTGTAAGCCGTTACGTCCATCGATCGTGTTGGAGTGCTCGCTTCCTCGCGCACAGCAACAGCTTCGGTTTAAGCTTGTCCCGGTCCTCTGTTGTGCAAGAAAGATCATTTGCTGTTGTTTAGAAGCCATAAAGCGAGATGCAAATACTCTTCTTGCATGATCGGTGACAGGCTGGGCCTTGCCGGAGATCGAGTCCGGGACCTCTCGCACCCCTAAGCGAGAATCATACCACTAGACCACAAGGCCACGCTCACCGCTTTTCACGTCCTCATGTTCCGCCGACTGCACGAGCTGCGTGCACCCACACACTAGTGCTATTATTGCAGTGTCGAATGCGAACGCATCGTATTGGCACGTTACTGACGCTGACGACTCTTTTCAAACCATCGCGGTGCTTTGTAAGCCGTTACGTCCATCGATCTTGTTGGAGTGCTCGCTTCCTCGCGCACAGCAACAGCTTCGATTTAAACTTGTCCCGGTCCTCTGTTGTGCAAGAAAGATCATTTGCTGTTGTTTAGAAGCCATAAAGCGAGATGCAAATACTCTTCTTGCATGATCGGTGACGGGCTGGGCCTTGCCGGAGATCGAGTCCGGGACCTCTCGCACCCTAAGCGAGAATCATACCACTAGACCACAAGGCCACGCTCACCGCTTTTCACGTCCTCATGTTCCAGCCGACTGCACGAGCTGCGTGCACCCACACACCAAGTGCTATTATTGCAGTGTCGAATGCGAACGCATCGTATTGGCACGTTACTGACGCTGACGACTCTTTTCAAACCATTGCGGTGCTTTGTTAGCCGTTACGTCCATCGATCGTGTTGGAGTGCTCGCTTCCTCGCGCACAGCAACAGCTTCGATTTAAACTTGTCCCGGTCCTCTGTTGTGCAAGAAAGATCATTTGCTGTTGTTTAGAAGCCATAAAGCGAGATGCAAATAATCTTCTTGCATGATCGGTGACAGGCTGGGCCTTGCCGGAGATCGAGTACGGGACCTCTCGCACCCTAAGCGAGAATCATACCACTAGACCACAAGGCCACGCTAACCGCTTTTCACGTCCTCATGTTCCGCCGACTGCACGAGCTGCGTGCACCCACACACAAGTGCTATTATTGCAGTGTCGAATGCGAACGCATCGTATTGGCACGTTACTGACGCTGACGACTCTTTTCAAACCATCGCGGTGCTTTGTAAGCCGTTACGTCCATCGATCGTGTTGGAGTGCTCGCTTCCTCGCGCACAGCAACAGCTTCGATTTAAACTTGTCCCGGTCCTCTGTTGTGCAAGAAAGATCATTTGCTGTTGTCTAGAAGCCATAAAGCGAGATGCAAATAATCTTCTTGCATGATCGGTGACAGGCTGGGCCTTGCCGGAGATCGAGTACGAGACCTCTCGCACCCTAAGCGAGAATCATACCACTAGACCACAAGGCCACGCTCACCGCTTTTCACGTCCTCATGTTCCGGCGACTGCACGAGCTGCGTGCACCCACACACCAGTGCTATTATTGCAGTGTCGAATGCGAACGCATCGTATTGGCACGTTACTGACGCTGACGACTCTTTTCAAAACCATTGCGGTGCTTTGTAAGCCGTTACGTCCATCGATCTTGTTGGAGTGCTCGCTTCCTCGCGCACAGCAACAGCTTCGATTTAAACTTGTCCCGGTCCTCTGTTGTGCAAGAAAGATCATTTGCTGTTGTTTAGAAGCCATAAAGCGAGATGCAAATAATCTTCTTGCATGATCGGTGACAGGCTGGGCCTTGCCGGAGATCGAGTCCGGGACCTCTCGCACCCTAAGCGAGAATCATACCACCTAGACCACAAGGCCACGCTAACCGCTTTTCACGTCCTCATGTTCCACCGACTGCACGAGCTGCGTGCACCCACACACAAGTGCTATTATTGCAGTGTCGAATGCGAACGCATCGTATTGGCACGTTACTGACGCTGACGACTCTTTTCAAACCATTGCGGTGCTTTGTAAGCCGTTACGTCCATCGATCGTGTTCGAGTGCTCGCTTTCTCGCGCACAGCAACAGCTTCGATTTAAACTTGTCCCGGTCCTCTGTTGTGCAAGAAAGATCATTTGCTGTTGTTTAGAAGCCATAAAGCGAGATGCAAATAATCTCTTTGCATGATCGGTGACAGGCTGGGCCTTGCCGGAGATCGAGTCCGGGACCTCTCGCACCCTAAGCGAGAATCATACCACTAGACCACAAGGCCACGCTCACCGCTTTTCACGTCCTCATATTCCGCCGACTGCACGAGCTGCGTGCACCCACACACAAGTGCTATTATTGCAGTGTCGAATGCGAACGCATCGTATTGGCACGTTACTGACGCTGACGACTCTTTTCAAACCATCGCGGTGCTTTGTAAGCCGTTACGTCCATCGATCTTGTTGGAGTGCTCGCTTCCTCGCGCACAGCAACAGCTTCGATTCAAACTTGTCCGGTCCTCTGTTGTGCAAGAAAGATCATTTGCTGTTGTCTAGAAGCCATAAAGCGAGATGCAAATAATCTTCTTGCATGATCGGTGACAGGCTGGGCCTTGCCGGAGATCGAATCCGGGACATCTCGCACCCTAAGCGAGAATCATACCACTAGACCACAAGGCCACGCTCACCGCTTTTCACGTCCTCATGTTCCAGCGACTGCACGAGCTGCGTGCACCCACACACAAGTGCTATTATTGCAGTGTCGAATGCGAACGCATCGTATTGGCACGTTACTGACACTGACGACTCTTTTCAAACCATTGCGGTGCTTTGTAAGCCGTTACGTCCATCGATCTTGTTGGAGTGCTCGCTTCCTCGCGCACAGCAACAGCTTCGATTAAAACTTGTCCCGGTCCTCTGTTGTGCAAGAAAGATCATTTGCTGTTGTCCAGAAGCCATAAAGCGAGATGCAAATAATCTTCTTGCATGATCGGTGACAGGCTGGGCCTTGCCGGAGATCGAATCCGGGACCTCTCGCACCCTAAGCGAGAATCATACCACTAGACCACAAGGCCACGCTCACCGCTTTTCACGTCCTCATGTTCCAGCGACTGCACGAGCTGCGTGCACCCACACACTCGTGCTATTATTGCAGTGTCGAATGCGAACGCATCGCATTGGCACGTTACTGACGCTGACGACTCTTTTCAAACCATTGCGGTGCTTTGTAAGCCGTTACGTCCATCGATCTTGTTGGAGTGCTCGCTTCCTCGCGCACAGCAACAGCTTCGATTTAAACTTGTCCCGGTCCTCTGTTGTGCAAGAAAGATCATTTGCTGTTGTCTAGAAGCCATAAAGCGAGATGCAAATAATCTTCTTGCATGATCGGTGACAGGCTGGGCCTTGCCGGAGATCGAGTCCGGGTCCTCTCGCACCCTAAGCGAGAATTATACCACTAGACCACAAGGCCACGCTCACCGCTTTTCACGTCCTCATGTTCCAGCCGACTGCACGAGCTGCGTGCACCACACACACAAGTGCTATTATTGCAGTGTCGAATGCGAACGCATCGTATTGGCACGTTACTGACGCTGACGACTCTTTTCAAACCATTGCGGTGCTTTGTAAGCCGTTACGTCCATCGATCTTGTTGGAGTGCTCGCTTCCTCGCGCACAGCAACAGCTTCGATTTAAACTTGTCCCGGTCCTCTGTTGTGCAAGAAAGATCATTTGCTGTTGTCCAGAAGCCATAAAGCGAGATGCAAATAATCTTCTTGCATGATCGGTGACAGGCTGGGCCTTGCCGGAGATCGAGTCCGGGTCCTCTCGCACCCTAAGCGAGAATCATACCACTAGACCACAAGGCCACGCTCACCGCTTTTCACGTCCTCATGTTCCAGCGACTGCACGAGCTGCGTGCACCCACACACAAGTGCTATTATTGCAGTGTCGAATGCGAACGCATCGCATTGGCACGTTACTGACGCTGACGACTCTTTTCAAACCATTGCGGTGCTTTGTAAGCCGTTACGTCCATCGATCTTGTTCGAGTGCTCGCTTCCTCGCGCACAGCAACAGCTTCGATTTAAACTTGTCCCGGTCCTCTGTTGTGCAAGAAAGATCATTTGCTGTTGTCCAGAAGCCACAAAGCGAGATGCAAATAATCTTCTTGCATGATCGGTGACAGGCTGGGCCTTGCCGGAGATCAAATCCGGGACCTCTCGCACCCTAATCGAGAATCATACCACTAGACCACAAGGCCACGCTCACCGCTTTTCACGTCCTCATGTTCCGCCGACTGCACGAGCTGCGTGCACCCACACACAGTGCTATTATTGCAGTGTCGAATGCGAACGCATCGTATTGGCACGTTACTGACGCTGACGACTCTTTTCAAACCATTGCGGTGCTTTGTAAGCCGTTACGTCCATCGATCTTGTTGGAGTGCTCGCTTCCTCGCGCACAGCAACAGCTTCGATTTAAACTTGTCCCGGTCCTCTGTTGTGCAAGAAAGATCATTTGCTGTTGTTTAGAAGCCATAAAGCGAGATGCAAATAATCTTCTTGCATGATCGGTGACAGGCTGGGCCTTGCCGGAGATCGAGTATCCGGGACCTCTCGCACCCTAAGCGAGAATCATACCACTAGACCACAAGGCCACGCTCACCGCTTTTCACGTCCTCATGTTCCGCCGACTGCACGAGCTGCGTGCACCCACACACAGTGCTATTATTGCAGTGTCAGATGCGAACGCATCGCATTGGCACGTTACTGACGCTGACGACTCTTTTCAAACCATTGCGGTGCTTTGTAAGCCGTTACGTCCATCGATCTTGTTGGAGTGCTCGCTTCCTCGCGCACAGCAACAGCTTCGATTAAAACTTGTCCCGGTCCTCTGTTGTGCAAGAAAGATCATTTGCTGTTGTCCAGAAGCCATAAAGCGAGATGCAAATACTCTTCCCGCATGATCGGTGACGGGCTGGGCCTTGCCGGAGATCGAGTCCGGGACCTCTCGCACCCTAAGCGAGAATCATACCACTAGACCACAAGGCCACGCTAACCGCTTTTCACGTCCTCATGTTCCGCCGACTGCACGAGCTGCGTGCACCCACACACTCGTGCTATTATTGCAGTGTCGAATGCGAACGCATCGTATTGGCACGTTACTGACACTGACGACTCTTTTCAAACCATTGCGGTGCTTTGTAAGCCGTTACGTCCATCGATCTTGTTCGAGTGCTCGCTTTCTCGCGCACAGCAACAGCTTCGATTAAAACTTGTCCCGTTCCTCTGTTGTGCAAGAAAGATCATTTGCTGTTGTTTAGAAGCCATAAAGCGAGATGAAAATAATCTTCTTGCATGATCGGTGACAGGCTGGGCCTTGCCGGAGATCGAGTACGAGACCTCTCGCACCCTAATCGAGAATCATACCACTAGACCACAAGGCCACGCTCACCGCTTTTCACGTCCTCATGTTCCGCCGACTGCACGAGCTGCGTGCACCCACACACAAGTGCTATTATTGCAGTGTCGAATGCGAACGCATCGTATTGGCACGTTACTGACGCACTGACGACTCTTTTCAAACCATCGCGGTGCTTTGTAAGCCGTTACGTCCATCGATCTTGTTGGAGTGCTCGCTTCCTCGCGCACAGCAACAGCTTCGATTAAAACTTGTCCGGTCCTCTGTTGTGCAAGAAAGATCATTTGCTGTTGTTTAGAAGCCATAAAGCGAGATGCAAATAATCTTCTTGCATGATCGGTAACGGGCTGGGCCTTGCCGGAGATCAAATCCGGGACCTCTCGCACCCTAAGCGAGAATTATACCACTAGACCACAAGGCCACGCTCACCGCTCTTCACGTCCTCATGTTCGAGCGACTGCACGAGCTGCGTGCACCCACACACAAGTGCTGTTATTGCAGTGTCGAATGCAGACGCATCGCATTGGCACGTTACTGACGCTGACGACTCTTTTCAAACCATCGCGGTGCTTTGTAAGCCGTTACGTCCATCGATCTTGTTGGAGTGCTCGCTTCCTCGCGCACAGCAACAGCTTCGGTTTAAACTTGTCCCGGTCCTCTGTTGTGCAAGAAAGATCATTTGCTGTTGTCTAGAAGCCATAAAGCGAGATGCAAATAATCTTCTTGCATGATCGGTGACAGGCTGGGCCTTGCCGGAGATCGAGTCCGGGACCTCTCGCACCCTAAGAGCGAGAATCATACCACTAGACCACAAGGCCACGCTCACCGCTTTTCACGTCCTCATGTTCCGCCGACTGCACGAGGCTGCGTGCACCCACACCAAGTGCTATTATTGCGGTGTCGAATGCGAACGCATCGTATTGGCACGTTACTGACACTGACGACTCTTTTCAAACCATCGCGGTGCTTTGTAAGCCGTTACGTCCATCGATCTTGTTGGAGTGCTCGCTTCCTCGCGCACAGCAACAGCTTCGGTTCAAACTTGTCCCAGTCCTCTGTTGTGCAAGAAAGATCATTTGCTGTTGTCTAGAAGCCATAAAGCGAGATGCAAATACTCTTCCCCGCATGATCGGTGACAGGCTGGGCCTTGCCGGAGATCGAGTCCGGGACCTCTCGCACCCTAAGCGAGAATCATACCACTAGACCTCAAGGCCACGCTCACCGCTTTTCAGTCCTCATGTTCCGCCGACTGCACGAGGCTGCGTGCACCCACACACAAGTGCTATTATTGCAGTGTCGAATGCGAACGCATCGTATTGGCACGTTACTGACACTGACGACTCTTTTCAAACCATCGCGGTGCTTTGTAAGCCGTTACGTCCATCGATCTTGTTGGAGTGCTCGCTTCCTCGCGCACAGCAACAGCTTCGATTTAAACTTGTCCCGGTCCTCTGTTGTGCAAGAAAGATCATTTGCTATTGTTTAGAAGCCATAAAGCGAGATGCAAATAATCTTCTTGCATGATCGGTGACAGGCTGGGCCTTGCCGGAGATCGAGTCCGGGTCCTCTCGCACCCTAAGCGAGAATTATACCACTAGACCACAAGGCCACGCTAACCGCTTTTCACGTCCTCATGTTCCGCCGACTGCACGAGCTGCGTGCACCCACACACAAGTGCTATTATTGCAGTGTCGAATGCGAACGCATCGTATTGGCACGTTACTGACACTGACGACTCTTTTCAAACCATCGCGGTGCTTTGTAAGCCGTTACGTCCATCGATCGTGTTGGAGTGCTCGCTTCCTCGCGCACAGCAACAGCTTCGATTTAAACTTGTCCCGGTCCTCTGTTGTGCAAGAAAGATCATTTGCTGTTGTTTAGAAGCCATAAAGCGAGATGCAAATAATCTCCTTGCATGATCGGTGACAGGCTGGGCCTTGCCGGAGATCGAGTCCGGGACCTCTCGCACCCTAAGCGAGAATCATACCACTAGACCACAAGGCCACGCTAACCGCTTTTCACGTCCTCATGTTCCGCGACTGCGCGAGCTGCGTGCACCCACTTTCAAGTGCTATTATTGCAGTGTCGAATGCGAACGCATCGTATTGGCACGTTACTGACGCTGACGACTCTTTTCAAACCATCGCGGTGCTTTGTAAGCCGTTACGTCCATCGATCTTGTTCGAGTGCTCGCTTTCTCGCGCACAGCAACAGCTTCGATTTAAACTTGTCCCGGTCCTCTGTTGTGCAAGAAAGATCATTTGCTGTTGTCTAGAAGCCATAAAGCGAGATGCAAATACTCTCCTTGCGTGATCGGTAACGGGCTGGGCCTTGCCGGAGATCGAGTCCGGGACCTCTCGCACCCTAAGCGAGAATCATACCCACTAGACCACAAGGCCACGCTCACCGCTTTTCACGTCCTCATGTTCCAGCGACTGCACGAGCTGCGTGCACCCACACACAAGTGCTATTATTGCAGTGTCGAATGCGAACGCATCGTATTGGCACGTTACTGACGCTGACGACTCTTTTCAAACCATCGCGGTGCTTTGTAAGCCGTTACGTCCATCGATCGTGTTCGAGTGCTCGCTTCCTCGCGCACAGCAACAGCTTCGATTCAAACTTGTCCCGGTCCTCTGTTGTGCAAGAAAGATCATTTGCTGTTGTCTAGAAGCCATAAAGCGAGATGCAAATACTCTTCCCGCATGATCGGTGACAGGCTGGGCCTTGCCGGAGATCGAGTCCGGGACCTCTCGCACCCTAAGCGAGAATCATACCACTAGACCACAAGGCCACGCTCACCGCTTTTCACGTCCTCATGTTCCAGCCGACTGCACGAGCTGCGTGCACCCACATACTAGTGCTATTATTGCAGTGTCGAATGCGAACGCATCGTATTGGCACGTTACTGACACTGACGACTCTTTTCAAACCATTGCGGTGCTTTGTAAGCCGTTACGTCCATCGATCGTGTTGGAGTGCTCGCTTCCTCGCGCACAGCAACAGCTTCGATTTAAACTTGTCCCGGTCCTCTGTTGTGCAAGAAAGATCATTGCTGTTGTCTAGAAGCCATAAAGCGAGATGCAAATACTCTTCCCGCATGATCGGTGACAGGCTGGGCCTTGCCGGAGATCGAGTCCGGGTCCTCTCGCACCCTAATCGAGAATTATACCACTAGACCACAAGGCCACACTCACCGCTTTTCACGTCCTCATATTCCGCCGACTGCACGAGCTGCGTGCACCCACACACAAGTGCTATTATTGCAGTATCGAATGCGAACGCATCGTATTGGCACGTTACTGACGCTGACGACTCTTTTCAAACCATCGCGGTGCTTTGTAAGCCGTTACGTCCATCGATCTTGTTGGAGTGCTCGCTTCCTCGCGCACAGCAACAGCTTCGATTCAAACTTGTCCCGGTCCTCTGTTGTGCAAGAAAGATCATTTGCTGTTGTTTAGAAGCCATAAAGCGAGATGCAAATAATCTTCTTGCATGATCGGTGACAGGCTGGGCCTTGCCGGAGATCGAGTCCGGGACCTCTCGCACCCTAAGCGAGAATCATACCACTAGACCACAAGGCCACGCTCACCGCTTTTCACGTCCTCATGTTCCGCCGACTGCACGAGCTGCGTGCACCCACACACAAGTGCTATTATTGCAGTGTCGAATGCGAACGCATCGTATTGGCAGTTACTGACGCTGACGACTCTTTTCAAACCATCGCGGTGCTTTGTTAGCCGTTACGTCCATCGATCGTGTTGGAGTGCTCGCTTCCTCGCGCACAGCAACAGCTTTGGTTTAAACTTGTCCCGGTCCTCTGTTGTGCAAGAAAGATCATTTGCTGTTGTCTAGAAGCCATAAAGCGAGATGCAAATAATCTTCTTGCATGATCGGTGACGGGCTGGGCCTTGCCGGAGATCGAGTCCGGGACCTCTCGCACCCTAAGCGAGAATCATACCACTAGACCACAAGGCCACGCTAACCGCTTTTCACGTCCTCATGTTCCGCCGACTGCACGAGCTGCGTGCACCCACACACTCGTGCTATTATTGCAGTGTCGAATGCGAACGCATCGTATTGGCACGTTACTGACACTGACGACTCTTTTCAAACCATCGCGGTGCTTTGTAAGCCGTTACGTCCATCGATCTTGTTGGAGTGCTCGCTTCCTCGCGCACAGCAACAGCTTCGATTTAAACTTGTCCCGGTCCTCTGTTGTGCAAGAAAGATCATTTGCTGTTGTCTAGAAGCCATAAAGCGAGATGCAAATACTCTCTCCGCATGATCGGTGACGGGCTGGGCCTTGCCGGAGATCGAATCCGGGACCTCTCGCACCCTAAGCGAGAATCATACCACTAGACCACAAGGCCACGCTAACCGCTTTTCACGTCCTCATGTTCCGCCGACTGCACGAGCTGCGTGCACCCACACACAAGTGCTATTATTGCAGTGTCGAATGCGAACGCATCGTATTGGCACGTTACTGACACTGACGACTCTTTTCAAACCATCGCGGTGCTTTGTAAGCCGTTACGTCCATCGATCTTGTTGGAGTGCTCGCTTCCTCGCGCACAGCAACAGCTTCGATTTAAACTTGTCCCGGTCCTCTGTTGTGCAAGAAAGATCATTTGCTGTTGTTTAGAAGCCATAAAGCGAGATGCAAATACTCTTCTTGCATGATCGGTGACGGGCTGGGCCTTGCCGGAGATCGAGTCCGGGACCTCTCGCACCCTAAGCGAGAATCATACCACTAGACCACAAGGCCACGCTCACCGCTTTTCACGTCCTCATGTTCCGCCGACTGCACGAGGCTGCGTGCACCCACACAAGTGCTATTATTGCAGTGTCGAATGCGAACGCATCGTATTGGCACGTTACTGACGCTGACGACTCTTTTCAAACCATCGCGGTGCTTTGTAAGCCGTTACGTCCATCGATCGTGTTGGAGTGCTCGCTTCCTCGCGCACAGCAACAGCTTCGATTTAAACTTGTCCCGGTCCTCTGTTGTGCAAGAAAGATCATTTGCTGTTGTTTAGAAGCCATAAAGCGAGATGCAAATAATCTTCTTGCATGATCGGTGACAGGCTGGGCCTTGCCGGAGATCGAGTCCAGGTCCTCTCGCACCCTAAGCGAGAATTATACCACTAGACCACAAGGCCACGCTCACCGCTTTTCACGTCCTCATGTTCCAGCGACTGCACGAGCTGCGTGCACCCACACACAAGTGCTATTATTGCAGTGTCGAATGCGAACGCATCGTATTGGCACGTTACTGACGCTGACGACTCTTTTCAAACCATCGCGGTGCTTTGTAAGCCGTTACGTCCATCGATCGTGTTGGAGTGCTCGCTTCCTCGCGCACAGCAACAGCTTCGATTTAAACTTGTCCCGGTCCTCTGTTGTGCAAGAAAGATCATTTGCTATTGTTTAGAAGCCATAAAGCGAGATGCAAATACTCTTCTCGCATGATCGGTGACGGCTGGGCCTTGCCGGAGATCGAGTCCGGGACCTCTCGCACCCTAAGCGAGAATCATACCACTAGACCACAAGGCCACGCTCACCGCTTTTCACGTCCTCATGTTCCAGCGACTGCACGAGCTGCGTGCACCCACACACAAGTGCTATTATTGCAGTGTCGAATGCGAACGCATCGTATTGGCACGTTACTGACGCTGACGACTCTTTTCAAACCATCGCGGTGCTTTGTAAGCCGTTACGTCCATCGATCGTGTTGGAGTGCTCGCTTCCTCGCGCACAGCAACAGCTTCGATTTAAACTTGTCCCGGTCCTCTGTTGTGCAAGAAAGATCATTTGCTGTTGTTTAGAAGCCATAAAGCGAGATGCAAATACTCTTCTTGCATGATCGGTGACAGGCTGGGCCTTGCCGGAGATCGAGTCCGGGACCTCTCGCACCCTAAGCGAGAATCATACCACTAGACCACAAGGCCACGCTCACCGCTTTTCACGTCCTCATGTTCCGCCGACTGCACGAGCTGCGTGCACCCACACACAAGTGCTATTATTGCAGTGTCGAATGCGAACGCATCGTATTGGCACGTTACTGACGCTGACGACTCTTTTCAAACCATCGCGGTGCTTTGTAAGCCGTTACGTCCATCGATCTTGTTGGAGTGCTCGCTTCCTCGCGCACAGCAACAGCTTCGATTTAAACTTGTCCCGGTCCTCTGTTGTGCAAGAAAGATCATTTGCTGTTGTTTAGAAGCCATAAAGCGAGATGCAAATACTCTTCCCGCATGATCGGTGACAGGCTGGGCCTTGCCGGAGATCGAATCCGGGACCTCTCGCACCCTAAGCGAGAATCATACCACTAGACCACAAGGCCACGCTCACCGCTCTTCACGTCCTCATGTTCGAGCGACTGCACGAGCTGCGTGCACCCACACACAAGTGCTATTATTGCAGTGTCGAATGCGAACGCATCGCATTGGCACGTTACTGACGCTGACGACTCTTTTCAAACCATTGCGGTGCTTTGTAAGCCGTTACGTCCATCGATCGTGTTGGAGTGCTCGCTTCCTCGCGCACAGCAACAGCTTCGATTTAAACTTGTCCCGGTCCTCTGTTGTGCAAGAAAGATCATTTGCTGTTGTTTAGAAGCCATAAAGCGAGATGCAAATACTCTTCCTGCATGATCGGTGACAGGCTGGGCCTTGCCGGAGATCGAGTCCGGGACCTCTCGCACCCTAAGCGAGAATCATACCACTAGACCACAAGGCCACGCTCACCGCTTTTCACGTCCTCATGTTCCGCCGACTGCACGAGCTGCGTGCACCCACACACAAGTGCTATTATTGCAGTGTCGAATGCGAACGCATCGTATTGGCACGTTACTGACGCTGACGACTCTTTTCAAACCATCGCGGTGCTTTGTAAGCCGTTACGTCCATCGATCTTGTTGGAGTGCTCGCTTCCTCGCGCACAGCAACAGCTTCGATTTAAACTTGTCCCGGTCCTCTGTTGTGCAAGAAAGATCATTTGCTGTTGTTTAGAAGCCATAAAGCGAGATGCAAATACTCTTCCCGCATGATCGGTGACAGGCTGGGCCTTGCCGGAGATCGAGTCCGGGACCTCTCGCACCCTAAGCGAGAATCATACCACTAGACCACAAGGCCACGCTAACCGCTTTTCACGTCCTCATGTTCCGCCGACTGCACGAGCTGCGTGCACCCACACACAAGTGCTATTATTGCAGTGTCGAATGCGAACGCATCGTATTGGCACGTTACTGACACTGACGACTCTTTTCAAACCATCGCGGTGCTTTGTAAGCCGTTACGTCCATCGATCTTGTTGGAGTGCTCGCTTCCTCGCGCACAGCAACAGCTTCGGTTCATGCTTGTCCCGGTCCTCTGTTGTGCAAGAAAGATCATTTGCTGTTGTTTAGAAGCCATAAAGCGAGATGCAAATACTCTTCCCGCATGATCGGTGACGGGCTGGGCCTTGCCGGAGATCGAATCCGGGACCTCTCGCACCCTAAGCGAGAATCATACCACTAGACCACAAGGCCACGCTCACCGCTTTTCACGTCCTCATGTTCCGCCGACTGCACGAGCTGCGTGCACCCACACACAAGTGCTATTATTGCAGTGTCGAATGCGAACGCATCGTATTGGCACGTTACTGACGCTGACGACTCTTTTCAAACCATTGCGGTGCTTTGTAAGCCGTTACGTCCATCGATCTTGTTGGAGTGCTCGCTTTCTCGCGCACAGCAACAGCTTTGGTTTAAACTTGTCCCGGTCCTCTGTTGTGCAAGAAAGATCATTTGCTGTTGTTTAGAAGCCATAAAGCGAGATGAAAATACTCTCCTTGCATGATCGGTGACGGGCTGGGCCTTGCCGGAGATCGAGTCCGGGACCTCTCGCACCCTAAGCGAGAATCATACCACTAGACCACAAGGCCACGCTCACCGCTTTTCACGTCCTCATGTTCCGCCGACTGCACGAGCTGCGTGCACCCACACACAAGTGCTATTATTGCAGTGTCGAATGCGAACGCATCGTATTGGCACGTTACTGACGCTGACGACTCTTTTCAAACCATCGCGGTGCTTTGTTAGCCGTTACGTCCATCGATCGTGTTGGAGTGCTCGCTTCCTCGCGCACAGCAACAGCTTTGGTTTAAACTTGTCCCGGTCCTCTGTTGTGCAAGAAAGATCATTTGCTGTTGTCTAGAAGCCATAAAGCGAGATGCAAATACTCTTCCCGCATGATCGGTGACAGGCTGGGCCTTGCCGGAGATCGAGTCCGGGACCTCTCGCACCCTAAGCGAGAATCATACCACTAGACCACAAGGCCACGCTCACCGCTTTTCACGTCCTCATGTTCCGCCGACTGCACGAGCTGCGTGCACCCACACACAAGTGCTATTATTGCAGTGTCGAATGCGAACGCATCGTATTGGCACGTTACTGACGCTGACGACTCTTTTCAAACCATCGCGGTGCTTTGTAAGCCGTTACGTCCATCGATCTTGTTGGAGTGCTCGCTTCCTCGCGCACAGCAACAGCTTCGATTTAAACTTGTCCCGGTCCTCTGTTGTGCAAGAAAGATCATTTGCTGTTGTTTAGAAGCCATAAAGCGAGATGCAAATACTCTTCTTGCATGATCGGTGACAGGCTGGGCCTTGCCGGAGATCGAGTCCGGGACCTCTCGCACCCTAAGCGAGAATCATACCACTAGACCACAAGGCCACGCTCACCGCTTTTCACGTCCTCATGTTCCGCCGACTGCACGAGCTGCGTGCACCCACACACAAGTGCTATTATTGCAGTGTCGAATGCGAACGCATCGTATTGGCACGTTACTGACGCTGACGACTCTTTTCAAACCATTGCGGTGCTTTGTAAGCCGTTACGTCCATCGATCGTGTTGGAGTGCTCGCTTCCTCGCGCACAGCAACAGCTTCGATTTAAACTTGTCCCGGTCCTCTGTTGTGCAAGAAAGATCATTTGCTGTTGTTTAGAAGCCATAAAGCGAGATGCAAATACTCTTCCTGCATGATCGGTGACGGGCTGGGCCTTGCCGGAGATCGAGTCCGGGACCTCTCGCACCCTAAGCGAGAATCATACCACTAGACCACAAGGCCACGCTCACCGCTTTTCACGTCCTCATGTTCCGCCGACTGCACGAGCTGCGTGCACCCACACACAAGTGCTATTATTGCAGTGTCGAATGCGAACGCATCGCATTGGCACGTTACTGACGCTGACGACTCTTTTCAAACCATCGCGGTGCTTTGTAAGCCGTTACGTCCATCGATCGTGTTGGAGTGCTCGCTTCCTCGCGCACAGCAACAGCTTTGGTTTAAACTTGTCCCGTTCCTATGTTGTGCAAGAAAGATCATTTGCTGTTGTCTAGAAGCCATAAAGCGAGATGCAAATACTCTTCCCGCATGATCGGTGACGGGCTGGGCCTTGCCGGAGATCGAGTACGGGACCTCTCGCACCCTAAGCGAGAATCATACCACTAGACCACAAGGCCACGCTCACCGCTTTTCACGTCCTCATGTTCCGCCGACTGCACGAGCTGCGTGCACCCACACACTCGTGCTATTATTGCAGTGTCGAATGCGAACGCATCGTATTGGCACGTTACTGACGCTGACGACTCTTTTCAAACCATTGCGGTGCTTTGTAAGCCGTTACGTCCATCGATCTTGTTGGAGTGCTCGCTTTCTCGCGCACAGCAACAGCTTTGGTTTAAACTTGTCCCGGTCCTCTGTTGTGCAAGAAAGATCATTTGCTGTTGTCTAGAAGCCATAAAGCGAGATGCAAATAATCTTCTTGCATGATCGGTGACAGGCTGGGCCTTGCCGGAGATCGAGTCCGGGACCTCTCGCACCCTAAGCGAGAATCATACCACTAGACCACAAGGCCACGCTAACCGCTTTTCACGTCCTCATGTTCCAGCCGACTGCACGAGCTGCGTGCACCCACACACACGTGCTATTATTGCAGTGTCGAATGCGAACGCATCGTATTGGCACGTTACTGACGCTGACGACTCTTTTCAAACCATCGCGGTGCTTTGTTAGCCGTTACGTCCATCGATCGTGTTGGAGTGCTCGCTTCCTCGCGCACAGCAACAGCTTTGGTTTAAACTTGTCCCGTTCCTCTGTTGTGCAAGAAAGATCATTTGCTGTTGTCTAGAAGCCATAAAGCGAGATGCAAATACTCTTCCCGCATGATCGGTGACGGGCTGGGCCTTGCCGGAGATCGAGTCCGGGACCTCTCGCACCCTAAGCGAGAATCATACCACTAGACCACAAGGCCACGCTAACCGCTTTTCACGTCCTCATGTTCCGCCGACTGCACGAGCTGCGTGCACCCACACACAAGTGCTATTATTGCAGTGTCGAATGCGAACGCATCGTATTGGCACGTTACTGACGCTGACGACTCTTTTCAAACCATCGCGGTGCTTTGTTAGCCGTTACGTCCATCGATCGTGTTGGAGTGCTCGCTTCCTCGCGCACAGCAACAGCTTCGATTTAAACTTGTCCCGGTCCTCTGTTGTGCAAGAAAGATCATTTGCTATTGTTTAGAAGCCATAAAGCGAGATGCAAATACTCTTCTCGCATGATCGGTGACGGCTGGGCCTTGCCGGAGATCGAATCCGGGACCTCTCGCACCCTAAGCGAGAATCATACCACTAGACCACAAGGCCACGCTCACCGCTTTTCACGTCCTCATGTTCCGCCGACTGCACGAGCTGCGTGCACCCACACACAAGTGCTATTATTGCAGTGTCGAATGCGAACGCATCGCATTGGCACGTTACTGACGCTGACGACTCTTTTCAAACCATTGCGGTGCTTTGTAAGCCGTTACGTCCATCGATCGTGTTGGAGTGCTCGCTTCCTCGCGCACAGCAACAGCTTCGATTTAAACTTGTCCCGGTCCTCTGTTGTGCAAGAAAGATCATTTGCTGTTGTCTAGAAGCCATAAAGCGAGATGAAAATACTCTTCTTGCATGATCGGTGACGGGCTGGGCCTTGCCCGAGATCGAGTCCGGGACCTCTCGCACCCTAAGCGAGAATCATACCACTAGACCACAAGGCCACGCTCACCGCTTTTCACGTCCTCATGTTCCGCCGACTGCGCGCGCTGCATGCACCCACGCACCACGTGCTATTATTGCAGTGTCGAATGCAAACGCATCGCATTGGCACGTTACTGACGCTGACGACTCTTTTCAAACCATCGCGGTGCTTTGTAAGCCGTTACGTCCATCGATCTTGTTGGAGTGCTCGCTTCCTCGCGCACAGCAACAGCTTCGGTTTATACTTGTCCCGATCCTCTGTTGTGCAAGAAAGATCATTTGCTGTTGTTTAGAAGCCATAAAGCGAGATGAAAATACTCTCCTTGCATGATCGGTGACGGGCTGGGCCTTGCCGGAGATCGAGTCCGGGACCTCTCGCACCCTAAGCGATAATCTTCCACTAGACCACAAGGCCACGCTAACCGCTTTTCACGTCCTCATGTTCCGCCGACTGCACGAGCTGCGTGCACCCACACACACGTGCTATTATTGCAGTGTCGAATGCGAATGCATCGTACTGGCACTTTTTCGACGCTGACGACTGTTTTCAAACCATCGCGGTGCTTTGTTAGCCGTTACGTCCATCGATCGTGTTGGAGTGCTCGCTTTCTCGCGCACAACAACAGCTTCGATTTAAACTTGTCCCGGTCCTCTGTTGTGCAAGAAAGATCATTTGCTGTTGTTTAGAAGCCATAAAGCGAGATGCAAATACTCTCCTTGCATGATCGGTGACGGGCTGGGCCTTGCCGGAGATCGAATCCGGGACCTCTCGCACCCTAAGCGAGAATTATACCACTAGACCACAAGGCCACGCTCACCGCTTTTCACGTCCTCATGTTCCGCCGACTGCACGCGCTACACGCACCCAGACACAAGTGCTATTATTGCAGTGTCGAATGCGAACGCATCGCATTGGCACGTTACTGACGCTGACGACTCTTTTCAAACCATCGCGGTGCTTTGTTAGCCGTTACGTCCATCGATCGTGTTGGAGTGCTCGCTTCCTCGCGCACAGCAACAGCTTCGATTTAAACTTGTCCCGGTCCTCTGTTGTGCAAGAAAGATCATTTGCTGTTGTTTAGAAGCCATAAAGCGAGATGCAAATAATCTTCTTGCATGATCGGTAACGGGCTGGGCCTTGCCGGAGATCAAATCCGGGACCTCTCGCACCCTAAGCGAGAATTATACCACTAGACCACAAGGCCACGCTCACCGCTTTTCACGTCCTCATGTTCCGCCGACTGCACGAGCTGCGTGCACCCACACACTCGTGCTATTATTGCAGTGTCGAATGCGAACGCATCGCATTGGCACGTTACTGACGCTGACGACTCTTTTCAAACCATTGCGGTGCTTTGTAAGCCGTTACGTCCATCGATCTTGTTGGAGTGCTCGCTTCCTCGCGCACAGCAACAGCTTCGATTTAAACTTGTCCCGGTCCTCTGTTGTGCAAGAAAGATCATTTGCTGTTGTTTAGAAGCCATAAAGCGAGATGCAAAATACTCTTCTTGCATGATCGGTAACGGGCTGGGCCTTGCCGGAGATCGAGTACGGGACCTCTCGCACCCTAATCGAGAATCATACCACTAGACCACAAGGCCACGCTCACCGCTTTTCACGTCCTCATGTTCCAGCTACTGCACGAGCTGCGTGCACCCACACACTCGTGCTATTATTGCAGTGTCGAATGCGAACGCATCGTATTGGCACGTTACTGACGCTGACGACTCTTTTCAAACCATTGCGGTGCTTTGTAAGCCGTTACGTCCATCGATCTTGTTGGAGTGCTCGCTTCCTCGCGCACAGCAACAGCTTCGATTTAAACTTGTCCCGGTCCTCTGTTGTGCAAGAAAGATCATTTGCTGTTGTCTAGAAGCCATAAAGCGAGATGCAAATACTCTTCCCGCATGATCGGTGACGGGCTGGGCCTTGCCGGAGATCGAATCCGGGACCTCTCGCACCCTAAGCGAGAATCATACCACTAGACCACAAGGCCACGCTCACCGCTTTTCACGTCCTCATGTTCCAGCGACTGCACGAGCTGCGTGCACCCACACACAAGTGCTATTATTGCAGTGTCGAATGCGAACGCATCGTATTGGCACGTTACTGACACTGACGACTCTTTTCAAACCATCGCGGTGCTTTGTAAGCCGTTACGTCCATCGATCTTGTTGGAGTGCTCGCTTCCTCGCGCACAGCAACAGCTTCGATTTAAACTTGTCCCGGTCCTCTGTTGTGCAAGAAAGATCATTTGCTGTTGTCTAGAAGCCATAAAGCGAGATGAAAATACTCTCCTTGCATGATCGGTGACGGGCTGGGCCTTGCCGGAGATCGAGTCCGGGACCTCTCGCACCCTAAGCGAGAATCATACCACTAGACCACAAGGCCACGCTAACCGCTTTTCACGTCCTCATGTTCCAGCGACTGCACGAGCTGCGTGCACCCACACACAAGTGCTATTATTGCAGTGTCGAATGCGAACGCATCGTATTGGCACGTTACTGACACTGACGACTCTTTTCAAACCATCGCGGTGCTTTGTAAGCCGTTACGTCCATCGATCGTGTTGGAGAGTGCTCGCTTCCTCGCGCACAGCAACAGCTTCGATTTAAACTTGTCCCGGTCCTCTGTTGTGCAAGAAAGATCATTTGCTGTTGTTTAGAAGCCATAAAGCGAGATGCAAATACTCTTCCCGCATGATCGGTGACGGCTGGGCCTTGCCGGAGATCGAGTACGGGACCTCTCGCACCCTAAGCGAGAATCATACCACTAGACCACAAGGCCACGCTAACCGCTTTTCACGTCCTCATGTTCCAGCGACTGCACGAGCTGCGTGCACCCACACACAAGTGCTATTATTGCAGTGTCGAATGCGAACGCATCGTATTGGCACGTTACTGACGCTGACGACTCTTTTCAAACCATTGCGGTGCTTTGTAAGCCGTTACGTCCATCGATCGTGTTGGAGTGCTCGCTTCCTCGCGCACAGCAACAGCTTCGATTTAAACTTGTCCCGGTCCTCTGTTGTGCAAGAAAGATCATTTGCTATTGTTTAGAAGCCATAAAGCGAGATGCAAAATACTCTTCTTGCATGATCGGTGACGGGCTGGGCCTTGCCGGAGATCGAGTACGGGACCTCTCGCACCCTAAGCGAGAATCATACCACTAGACCACAAGGCCACGCTCACCGCTTTTCACGTCCTCATGTTCCAGCGACTGCACGAGCTGCGTGCACCCACACACAAGTGCTATTATTGCAGTGTCGAATGCGAACGCATCGTATTGGCACGTTACTGACGCTGACGACTCTTTTCAAACCATTGCGGTGCTTTGTAAGCCGTTACGTCCATCGATCTTGTTGGAGTGCTCGCTTCCTCGCGCACAGCAACAGCTTCGATTTAAACTTGTCCCGGTCCTCTGTTGTGCAAGAAAGATCATTTGCTGTTGTTTAGAAGCCATAAAGCGAGATGCAAATAATCTTCTTGCATGATCGGTGACAGGCTGGGCCTTGCCGGAGATCGAGTCCGGGTCCTCTCGCACCCTAAGCGAGAATTATACCACTAGACCACAAGGCCACGCTAACCGCTTTTCACGTCCTCATGTTCCAGCGACTGCACGAGCTGCGTGCACCCACACACAAGTGCTATTATTGCAGTGTCGAATGCGAACGCATCGTATTGGCACGTTACTGACGCTGACGACTCTTTTCAAACCATCGCGGTGCTTTGTAAGCCGTTACGTCCATCGATCGTGTTGGAGTGCTCGCTTCCTCGCGCACAGCAACAGCTTCGATTTAAACTTGTCCCGGTCCTCTGTTGTGCAAGAAAGATCATTTGCTATTGTTTAGAAGCCATAAAGCGAGATGAAAATAATCTTCTTGCATGATCGGTGACAGGCTGGGCCTTGCCGGAGATCGAGTACGGGACCTCTCGCACCCTAATCGAGAATCATACCACTAGACCACAAGGCCACGCTCACCGCTTTTCACGTCCTCATGTTCCAG